TGGTTCCCCTCAGGGCTGTGGTGTCAGGTTCTGCCATGTTGTTATGTTCCTAGGAGTCACTGTGGGCTCAGCAGCTCTGTATATGTTCAGTTTTATTGCACAGTGTATGTTCTGCCTGTTTTCCAAAATGCTTGTGCCGTCCAGTCCTCTCCTCCTGGTCGTTGACTCTTCAGCACAGCTACTGTTCCTACTAGACTTCCAGGCCCAGACACTGTCCGTGGTCCTAGCCCTGACCTTGGTCCAGCCTTAGAGCTCGTCCTGGGCTTACACTGAATTTTACTGTCATTATTAAAGTCAATAAATGCTTACCGAGGACATTGGCTGTGCTGAATGCAAGACAGAGCAGCCAGTAAAACAAAGAGAGAAATGGTAGCACCCTCTGTCATCTCGAGCTTGAGAGTCCTTTTTATACAAGCTCACAAACCATCATAAACAGTACAAGCAAGAACTGCAAGGATATCATGATGGGGCCTCAGCCTCTCTGGGTGACGTGGGCTGGAGACCTGAAGCCTGGAGTGAGGAGCAAGCCTGCTCCACAGAGGGGCGACTGTGGATACAGAGGTTTAGCACGCTCCACAGAGGGGCCACTGTGGATACTGAGGTTTAGCATGCTCCACAGAGGGGCCACTGTGGATACAGAGGTTTAGCATGCTCCACAGAGGGGCGACTGTGGATACAGAGGTTTAGCATGCTCCACAGAGGGGCCACTGTGGATACAGAGGTTTAGCATGCTCCACAGAGGGGCGACTGTGGATACAGAGGTTTAGCATGCTCCACAGAGGGGCGACTGTGGATACAGAGGTTTAGCATGCTCCACAGAGGGGCGACTGTGGATACAGAGGTTTAGCATGCTCCACAGAGGGGCCACTGTGGATACAGAGGTTTAGTGAGGAGCAGGGAGACTAAAGTACATAATGAAGAACAGTGGAGGGTGTACGGTGAGGTGACTCAGTGGGTCAAGGTGCCTGCTGCCAAGCCAGATGACCTGAGTTCAATTCCCAGCTCCCCACGGTGGAAGGAGCCATGGGTGGAATATTGGACATCACAGACTGTTTCAAAATGGAAGACGCAACTAACTTAAATTGATTTTTGTTGTTGTTGTTTTTCAAGACAGGGTTTCTCTGTAGCTTTGAAACCTGTCCTGGAACTAGCTCTTGTAGACCAGGCTGGCCCCTAACTCACAGAGATCCGCCTGCTTCTACCTCCCAAGTGCTGGGATTAAAAGTATGCGCCACCACTGCTTTATTATTGATTTTGAGAGATGTTGAGGAAGATGAAGACAGACATCCCTTAGATTTGGTGGGAGACCACAGGGGGTGTTGGTTAGAGATCGTGACTACGGTGGGGAAGCCAGTTGGAGTGGATTGAGGCGTGTGTGCGGAATAGGGAAACAGGGCTGGAAAATGTAGTTAAGTGTGGTGGCTGGAGGCCTGCGATGTGGGGCAAGGATTTGTTTTTAATCACAGGGTATAATTCTCAGACCCTGACACACAGGTCCTACGTGTAGAGTTCAGTGAGCTGTACATACATCTGTTTATCCCAGTGCAGATGAAGGTACAGGACGTCCCAGGAATCGCCCCGTGCCTCCTCCAGTCTGTAGTAGCCCCAAGTGTAATCATGTCCTGTCTCCTAAGAGCACAGTTTAGCTCCGCCTGTTCATAGGCCTCCCATAAATAATAGCACTTAGGACATTGTCTTTCTGCATCTGCTTGGCACATGCATGAAATTCATTCATGTCATGTGTAGCAAAGACAAAGGAAGGTTTTCTTGTTGCATAATATTCTGTTCTGTCTCTCCCTCTTCTGTCATTTATCCAGTTCAATTGCTTTTCAGTTAATGTAAACAAAGCCGTTAACAGCCAGTGGTGTGTGGTGGTGTGAGCCTGTTATCCCAAAATTTGAGAGACTGAGGCAGGAGGATCAAACGTCTGGGATCCTTTATAAAAATGACAACAGTTTAGGCAAAGAAACAGAACAAAACCAAAAAACACTCAGTGGTTAGAAACAATGGTTGTTGTTGGTTTTTGTTTTGTTTTGTTTTTTGCTTGTTATTTTTTTTTTTTTTGAGACAGGGTTTCCCTCTGTAGCTTTGGAGCCTATCCTAGAGTTCTAGCAATTTTGCTCTGTAGACCAGGCTGGAGCCTGTACTAGAATTTGCTCTGTAGACCAGGTTGAACTCAAACTCACAGAGATCCACCTGTTTATGCCTCCCGAGTGCTGGTGTTAAAGGCGTGCCCCACCACCACCTGGTTATAATGACTGCTCTTACAGAGGACCCAGGTTTATTTGTTTGTAGTTAAAATTTCAGATTTAGTTTTCAGTTGTGTGTGTGTGTGTGTGTGCACATGAATGCAGTTGCCCAGAGTTCAGAAGAGAGCATCTGACCCCTAGAGCTGGAGTTACAGGCGGTTGTGAGCTGCCCAACACAGATGCTGGGAACTTAATTCAGATTCTCTGCAAGAGTAGCACACACTCTTAAATGGTGTACACGTGAGTATGTTTGTGTGCGTGCACACACATGTGGAGGCCAGCGTTCCACATTGCCCCATCTCCTCAGCGCTGCGCTTACAGGCACGCGCCGTAGCGCCTTCTCTCTCTCTCTCTCTCTCTCTCTCTCTCTCTCGCCTTCATGTTTGCCTCACTTGCTTCTCCCAGTCTGTGAATTGTCTTATTTTCTTACTGATGTCATTCGATGACCAGATGTTTTCAATTCTTGAGTGAGACACACGAGTCCGTGGTGGAGCCTCTGCCCGGCATGTTCCATTCTCAGCACGGAGGACACAAGTCAGGGAGTGAAGTTATCACTTCCAGCAAGGCCCACTGTGTTCATTCTTCTGTGGTTAGGTTTTGTGTGCCTCACTTAAGCAATTTTCACTTACTCCAATCGTAAAGATCTCTTCCCATGTTTTCTTCTACGTTGCTATGGGAACCTTTGCTTTCCCTCTTGTATTTAGGACTGTGATCCCTGCCACAGCAGTTTCTATATTTGGATATAAGGTGGGGACCAATTCTTCCTATTTTCCCTGTATGGTTCTTTAACTGATGCAACATTATTTATTTATTTATTTATTTGATTTAGTTATTATTTATCTTCGTATGTACTAGTGTTTTGACTCCTTGTCTGTGAACCAGTTGTGTGCAGTGCCTGTAGAGGCCAGAAGAGGGCATCAGACCCCCTAGAACTGGAGTTAGAGAGGGTTGTGAGCCACCATGTGGGTGCTGGGAACTGAACCCAGCCCAGGTACTCTGCAAGAGTGATAAGTGCTCTTAAGCCCCACCCATCTCTCCAGTCCCACCCTTTCTCTTTTTAATTGCCATAGTATCTTAGTTATTCATTAATGACCACATACACATGGGTCTTTTCCGGAGTCCTACTCCACCTGTGCGCCCTGGCATTTTTGTAAATCTTGATATTTGACAGTTCTGAGGAAGATATTAAATTGGAGATATTTGAGCTCATTAAAAAAATTAAGAGGCATTACTTTTGAGACTTTTTTCCTCCTACTGGGTTGCCTTGTCCAGCCTTGATATGAGGGTTTAGTCATATTGCAACTTGTTATGTTGTGTTCAACTGATATCCCTAGGAGACCTGTTCTTTTCTGAAGGACAATGGAGGAGGGATGGCTCTGGGGCAGAGGGGAGGTGGTGAGGAGGGAACTGGGAGGAGTGGGGGGAGGGGAGCTACCATCAGAATGTAATGTATGAGAGAAGAATAAAAAAAAATTAAAAGATGAGCGGGCGTGGTGGCGCACACCTTTAATCCCAGCACTTGAGGGACAGGCATGTGGATCTCTGTGAGTCTGAGGCCAGCCTGGCCTACAGACCTAGTTCCAGAACAGCCAGGACTGTTACATAGAGAAACGCTGTCTCAAAAAAAACAAAATGTAACAAACAAATTAGTAGGCTGGCTGGAGAGATGACTTAGTGGGTAAAGATGCTGCCCGCCAAGCCTGAGGAACAAGTGAGATCCCAGGGGTGCCCGAAAGTAATTCTTTGACCTCCACAGGCATTCTGTGGTATGCCCAGCTCCCCATCATAAACAAACAAATAAACCTATTTCTTTTTAAAGGCTAACGGGAAGGATTTAATGGAGAGCGAAGGACTATAACTCAATGGGGAGCCAAGCAGAGTAGCGTCTGCTGCTCATGCTGGCACAGACAGGAGGAGCAAGTGTTCAGGCCATCCTTGGCTACACAGTGAATTTGAGGCTAGCCTGAGCTACAGGAGAACTGCGTTGAAAAAGGAGGAGGAGGGCAAAGAGGGGAGGAAGAGAAAGAGGAAGAAAAAGAAGAGGGAAACAAGGAGCTGAAGAAGCCTTGCACCTGTGCCCGCACCTGTGCACGCACCTGTGCCCGCACCTGTGCCGGTCTGTCAGACAGTGGGCACTGGGGGGCTGGCTCCAGGTGCTTGGGGAGGCCTTGGCCTCATCTGCGAGACTCCCTCGGCACAGGTGTGTGGGCTGAAGTTTTTATCCGACCAGTTTTCCTGCCAAGTACATGCAGCCGAGCCAGGACAGGTGAGGTCTCTGTTCTCATGGACCTCCCTTTTAGTGGTGGGAGACAGGTTAAAAACAAAACACAAAACCCACACAGATGTCTAGGCCACACTAAATGCTACCCTGAGGAGTGTGAGCAGGCCATTGTGATGGGGGGGGGGGGACGACAAGCTGCTCTGCCCAACATAAGGATGGCCGGAGTTATGCCCTTTAAAGGCACAACTGTAAGAGGCCAGCTGTGGGGCCAAGGAAAGAGCATTCTAGACAGAGAAACATACAGAAGACACAAGACCAGCTTGTGGAACAAACAGAAACCGGTTAAGCAGGGAAGACAGAGTGGCCAAATGACTTAGAAAGTCTCGGACCAGATCTGCCCAGAGAGGCTACCCTTGAGGCTCAGATTCTCATCCGCCGGAGCTGAGTTTGTTACTAGTCCGGCTCTGTTGATGCGCCGGTGACTGCCTCCAAGCTGAGTCAGTTCTCACACTTGCCCTCTCTCTCTTCAGCTTCCTGAATGATGCCAGCTCGATGCGCCCTAACGACTGTTCTTGCTCTCCTGGTGCTGCTGGGCAGAGCCGGAGCAGGCCCTTTCTCTCCTCGGTCCAATGTGACCCTCCTGGCCCCACGGCCCCCTCCCCAGCCAGGGGGCCCTTCTTCTCAGCTGTATGAGCACACTGTGGAAGGAGGGGAGAAGCAGGTGGTATTCACCCACCGCATTAACCTGCCCACTTCGGCTGGCTGTGGCTGTCCCCCGGGCACTGAACCCCCGGTGCCTGCTTCTGAGGTGCAGGCCCTGAAGGTCCGGCTGGAGATCCTGGAGGAGCTGGTGAAGGGGCTCAAGGAACAATGCTCAGGAGGGTGCTGTCCCACGGCTGCTCAGGCTGGCACGGGTGAGCCCTGATGGGGGCGGGGCACAGAGGGAGGGAGACGAAGATCAGGATGGGAGAGGTGCCTAGGGTACGAAGGAGAAAATGTGGCACTTCCTGCTCCTTAGGGGTGACGTGTGCACTGAAGGTTATAACGTGGAGAGTCGACCCAAACACTCCCAAGAGGGCATCTACGCTAAGCAACTAGGAGCTAAAATGGCCTTCTGAAGCTACCGGCCATCTGCTAATACGAGCTGGGTCTCCCCTTCTCCTTCCCGCACCAGGCCAGACCGACGTGCGCAGCCTCTGCAGCCTCCACGGTGTCTTCGACCTGAGCCGCTGCGCCTGCTCCTGCGAGCCTGGCTGGGGTGGACCCACCTGCTCAGACCCCACCGACGTTAGGACGCCCACCTCGTCCCCGCCCTCAGCCTCCAAGACCTGTCCGGACGACTGCAACGACCAGGGTCGCTGCGTCCGAGGCCGCTGCGTGTGCTTCCCCGGCTACAGCGGCCCCAGTTGTGGCTGGCCCTCTTGCCCAGGAGATTGCCAGGGGCGCGGGCGCTGTGTGCAGGGTGTGTGTGTGTGTCGCCCTGGCTTCTCGGGCCCCGACTGCAGCCAGCGTTCCTGCCCTCGCAACTGCAACCAGAGAGGACGCTGCGAGGAAGGGCGCTGCGTGTGTGACCCCGGTTACTCTGGTGAGGACTGTGGGGTGCGAAGCTGTCCCCGGGACTGCAACCAGAAGGGTCGATGCGAGAACGGACGCTGCATTTGCAACCCCGGCTACTCTGGTGAGGATTGTGGGGTGCGGAACTGCCCTCGGGGCTGCAGCCAGAGGGGCCGCTGTGAGGACGGCCGCTGCGTGTGTGACCCCGGCTACAGCGGTGAAGACTGCGGCATGCGGAGCTGCCCATGGGACTGCGGCGAGGGAGGGCGCTGCGTGGACGGTCGCTGCGTGTGCTGGCCCGGGTACTCTGGCAAAGACTGCAGCACGCGGACGTGCCCGCGTGACTGCCATGGCCGTGGCCGCTGCGAGGACGGGGAATGCATCTGTGATGCGGGCTACAGCGGCGACGACTGCGGTGTGCGGAGCTGCCCCGGGGACTGCAACCAAAGGGGCCACTGCGAGGACGGCCGCTGCGTGTGCTGGCCCGGGTATACAGGGGCGGACTGCAGCGCGCGCGCCTGCCCGAGGGACTGCAGGGGCCGAGGGCGCTGCGAGGATGGCGTGTGCGTGTGCCACGCGGGCTACAGCGGCGAGGACTGCGGGGTGCGCAGCTGCCCCGGGGACTGTCGCGGCCGGGGAAGCTGCGAGAACGGCCGCTGCGTGTGCTGGCCCGGGTACACAGGCCGGGACTGCGGCACGCGCGCCTGCCCTGGTGACTGTCGCGGGCGCGGGCGCTGCGTGGACGGCCGCTGCGTGTGCAATGTGGGCTTCACTGGCGAGGACTGCGGGAGCCGTCGGTGCCCTGGGGACTGCCGCGGACATGGCCACTGCGAGGACGGTGTGTGTGTGTGCGACGTAGGCTACTCGGGTGACGACTGCAGCACACGCAGCTGTCCCGGCGGCTGCAGGGGCCATGGCAGGTGCCTGGACGGGTTCTGCGTGTGCGATGATGGCTACACGGGCGAGGACTGTGGCGTGAGACGGTGCCCGCGTGACTGCAGCCAGCAGGGCGTGTGCCAGGATGGCTTGTGCATGTGCCACGCGGGCTACGCGGGCGAAGACTGCAGCATCCGTACCTGCCCGGCCGACTGCCACCGGCGCGGCCGCTGTGAGAATGGGCGCTGTGTGTGCGACCCAGGCTACACCGGCCCCGCCTGCGCCACTCGCACCTGCCCAGCTGATTGTCGTGGCCGTGGGCGCTGTGTGCAGGGAGTGTGCCTGTGCTACGCCGGCTACAGTGGTGAGGACTGTGGGCAAGAGGAGCCTCCTGCCAGCGCCTGCCCCGGGGGCTGTGGCCCACGGGAACTGTGCCGTGCAGGCCAATGTGTGTGTGTCGAGGGCTTCCGAGGCCCAGACTGTGCCATCCAGACATGCCCAGGTGACTGTCGCGGCCGGGGAGAGTGTCTCCAGGGCAGATGCGTCTGTCAAGAAGGCTATGCTGGGGACGACTGTGGGGAAGGTGAGCCAGGTGCCTTCTCCCATACAGTGGGGAGGGTACAGGGATACTGGCAGCAGAAGCCTGAGGCTTAGGGGCCTAGAGGAAGAATGGAAGGACTTGTTCCTTGTAGATTGTGTGTGTGGGGGTATCAACCAGGAGGACCCCGTTCACTGGGGTAGTGGAACCATAAGCACACGCCAGTGGGAAGTCTGACCTTTAGCTCTCTGGACAGAGGGTTGTCTTTAAGGAGTTTTTAATGTACAGAACATGGGAGAAATTGACGGGCACCCAGGCCTCTTTTGGGCCTTTTCCAATGCTCCCAACCTGAGTTTGGGCAGTGGGAACCTAAGATGTGCCTCCCTGTGTGGGCTCAAGTGACTGGGGAGCCATGGCTCTGCCCCAGGCTAAGCAATTTCCTTATTCCACTCTGGACAGAGGTGCCAGCCATCCAGAACATGAGGATGCATCTCCTGGAGGAGACAACAGTCCGGACAGAGTGGACCCGGGCTCCTGGTCCTGTGGATGCCTATGAAATCCAGTTTATCCCCACGGTGAGGGGAAGCAAAGGGGGAGGCCGCTTAGGCAGAAGAGGGAGGGGGTGGGCTCACATGGGTGCAAGAAGTCACACTCATGAGACTCAGTGGCTGGTGTCCGAGTCTGCTCTAAATGCTTTCTTACCCTGCCCCAGCCTGGCACCAATCGATGCCTCAACATTGGCCCAGGGCAACAAGAATGCTAATGGTGAGATCCCTACTCCTGGCTGCTCAGTGCACAGCGGCCCTTACTGCTAGTCTTTGCTGCTGATTCCAAGTCGGCCCCATTCTGCACACACCCATTTGCCCTTGGCTGGGCACCAGCGTCTGGGGTACATGTGGTCTTCCTGAGTCCTGTGCCCAGTTGTCACCTCACTCGGAGGCAACCCTCAGCCTCATCTGTCCTCCCCCAATGCTGTGTTTTCAGATTCTTCAATTTTCTGTACCTCCTGCCTTCTTGTACATGCTTCCCAATGGGGAGTCGCACTGCCGTCTCTGGACCCACTGACATTTTCTCAGAGTGATCCAATGGGGAGACGCACTGCCGTCTCTGAACCCACTGACATTTTCTCAGAGTGATCCAATGGGGAGACGCACTGCCGTCTCTGGACCCACTGACATTTTCTCAGAGTTGCCACATACAAACTGCAGCCATACAAACTGTGAGGTGGTTTCTGATGGTGTTTCTTTAAGTATCTTTTTATTGCAACTCTCACAGAGGCCCAGAGAAAAACCTTCAGATAGCGTACATAAACACTCCAGGTTTAACCTCAGCACCTGGGAGGCAGAGGCAGGTGGATCTCTGTGAGTTTGAGGTCAATCTGGTCTTCAAAGCTAAGTTTCAAGACAGGCAAGGCTACACAAAGAAATCTATCTAGAAAATAAAACAAAAACAGGGAGGAAGGGAGGGAGGGGGGAGGGAGGGGAGAGGGAGGGAGAGGGAGGGAGGGAAGAGGGGGGAGAGGGAGGGAGGAAGGAAGGAAGGAAGGAAGGAAGAAAAGAAGGAAAAAGAGAAAGAAATTATAGATAAGCCAAGCAGAAAAGAAGAAAAGACGAGGGCAGCCTTCTCTGCCTACCCGTCAGTCTATATATAGGCTTGCCTTAGGCTCTGCTCAATGTTATCTTTATTGGTTTAGGCCAAGCTGTCTGGGCCGTGGCAATAATTCTGAGTCCATGAGTTTGTTTTCCCAGCTGCTGTCATCAGAACTTCAAGCATTCTTTCCCTGCCTCCAGCTTGTTCGTAAAACATTTGGGAGCATAGCAAGGACAAAGCTGGTGGCCCCTCCTTGGGGACCGCGACTTGGACTCAGGGTACAGGGACACTTATACTTCTCAGTCATCCGGCCTTTCCCACACCATCCCACAGATGCTGGGCAAGGCCGCACTTGCGTCCATCAGTCTGGTGGAGGGGGGCTCTAGACAAGCTCACTCCCTGGCCCTGCAGCCTCAGAAGGCAACGGGGAAGAGAGAGGTGGCAAGTGTTGGCTGTCATCCTCGCCCCAGGGCAGGTCTCACAGGAAGGTCTCCTGCAGCTGTATCCCTGCTTTGTGGCACAACCAAGGTAGCCCCCTCCTCCTCTCTGACAACCAAGAATGCCCCTTCTCTCTGACAACTAAGATAGCCCCCCTTCTCCTCTGACAACCAGGAGACCCCTCTCCCTTCTGACAACCAAGATAGCCCCCCTTCTTCTCTCTGAATTTTTAATATAAAAATAATTTAATCAGAAGACAAGAATTTGGCAAGTGGAGAAGAGGAAAAATGATAGTTGGCCGCCTAACAGTAAAACAACCGCGCTAACATTTTACGAAGTGTCTCTCCCAGTCCGTGCGTGTACAGTATTTACATAGCTCTAATCTGGAGGGTGGGACTTTAGGAGGAATTTTCCTATGAACCTTTAGGGTAGGGAGAAATAAAATAAACAGTCAAGATAAGAGAGGGCTTCAGGCAATGTTGTCTCCTGCTCCTAACACACACAGCCCATTTTGGGTGTTGTCAAGGGGTGCGGCCTTCGCTCAGCCTTTGCTCTCTCTGTGCGGGGTGGCATAAGCTGGTCTGCACCAAGCCTGGCTCTCAGTCCTTCATCTCTTCTCTGGGCATGGGACCCTTCCAGGTCCTTGTGAGGCTGCAAGTGAAGGAGGTCCCTTAAACCAGTCCTAACCAGACACGTGGTCCACACTCAGCCTCAGACCTGCTGTATTTGCTTTTCTTGTGGTGACTCTTGGGCCTGAACCTTTTGCCCTGGCCATGCTCTGGCCATCAGCTGACGTGGAGCCTATTCTGCAGTTTGCTGGCACCCCTCCGTCTTCCTCGCAGCCTGTTCCTGGCAGCTCCCCACCCCGAAACACTTCTCTCTCTGAACCTGACTGCTATTCCCAGCCAAGTGCATGCTCCAGCTCCCCTCCTGTGTATGTGGACTGTCACCGTGATCAGTGGCTCTCAAAGTGTGTTCAGTGTTCCAGGACCTGGGTGTCAGTGTCACCAGGGAGCTGGCTGACATGCTGCCCCATGAGTTGCTGCCTCCACCTCAGGTTCTGAGGGAGAGGTGTGGAAGTGTAGAGGTGCCAAGAACTCACTGGGACAAAGGTTCTAGTCCATGCTCATGGTCTCAAGCCTCAGGACTGTCCCCAGGACTGTCCCCTTTCTTCTACAAGATGGGAGGGAGTATGACCCGAGGAGCCTGAACCCTAATCAGAGCCTTTGGGTGTCCTCTGCAGCCTGGAAACAGCCGTGTCAGGCGCTCACTGGGACAGACCTGGACCTCGGAAGACATGGAGTAAAAGGGGAGAAGGGAGCTAGGTCCTTTCTGGGGGTCATCCAAGCGAGGCTTTCCCTGTGGGACCCCCGAGGCTGATACTGAGCATCAAGTTAAGCAGTCACCACGAACAATCAGCGGAGCCAAGTTTTGCCAGGAAGCAGTGGCAGCTGCCAACGCTTGGCCAGAGCCTGCCTCAGAGCTGCGGGATGGGGCTGGGCAGCGTGGGTGAGGCTGGCATGGGGACTTCCAGGGAGGGACCAAGAAATAGGTTGATCCAAAGAAAGAATTCAGGATGGGTTTGCTTTGATGAAAGATCTAGACTTTGGGCGTATACTAGAAGGAGAGACAGGATGGAGGTGGACTAGGGCGGGGCAGGTCCTGGGAGGTGTGTGGATGTCACACGTGTGGGTGAAGGCCACCCCAGGGCCCCTCAGTTGGAACTGTAGGAGCAGGACAGGATTCTCCATACTCAGGGGACCTAGAAAATAGTGACACAGCCCTGGTTCATCCCTCACCCGAAAATCCCCACGTGGCCGCTCATCTGGTTTTTAACTTTGGTATTTACTATGCTTTTCTGGTTTAGGACAGTACCTTTCAAATTTTCCAACCCCATTTGGCTGCATGGAGGTGTCCCTATCATGGCCAACATAGCAGAGCGGTACAGAGTGTCCCCGGCGGCTGTCCTGGCGAGGCAGCCCTGCACAGCATAGGACTGTTAGGGTGCTCACACATGTCCAGCCCCCCCACCCCCAGCAGCGGCGCTCTAGGAGCCCACAGGGCCACCCTATGTAACCTCATGACCTTAAACACACACTTAAAGGAGAGGATTTTATCCTTGTGGGTATTTACCACACATAGAGATTGGGGAGAGAGAGCTGCATTTGGCTACTAGGTTCTACCCAACCCCAGGACAGGGATGGCGTCTCCAACATGCAGCATGATGGCAGCCCTGAGGAAATGTGCTACTGGAACACTGAGCCTTTCTTTAGTGGTTGTGTAAGGTTGCCGAAGAGACAAGAAAATGTCTAAAGGGACACCCGGGCACACACAGGCAGCAAGCACTCCCCCCAGGGCCAGCTAAGCAGATCGGGGAAAGCAGAGGGGGCACAGGACATCCCCACTCCGCTTTGTCTGTTCTGAAAGAATGTGTGTGGGTAGCTGGGGTCGCCAGGGGAGCCAGAGGGAATCCTGGGTCTGGCAGATGAGCAGGGATTGTGCATGAGAGGGGAGCCAGGGGACACACCGCCTGCGCTCAAGCCTCTCGGCTTTCTTATATTTTTAAAGATTTATTGTCAGGCAGTGGTGGCACATGCTTTTAGTCACAGCACTCGGGAGGCAGAGGCAGGTGGATCTCTGTGAGTTCAAGGCCAGTCTGGTCTACAAAGTGAGTTCTAGGACAGCCAGGGATACACAGAGAAGCCTTGTCTAAAAGCAAAACAAAAAGGATGCATTTTGTTGATGTGCACGTATGTGTATACACATGTGTGTATGCACATGTGTGTGTGCAGGTGCTCAGGGAGGCCAGAAGAGGGCCACAGATTCTCTGGTGCTAGAGTTATGGGCATTTGTGAGCCGCCTCATGTGGGTGCTGGGAACTCAGCTCTGGTCTTCTGCAAAAGCAGCAAGTGCTTTCGATGGCTGCACTCTTTCTTCTGCCTCAGTTTCCCTTCTTTCTATCTTTATTGTTTAATTTTTGAGACAGAGTTTCTCTGTGTAGCCCTGGCTGTCCTGGAACTCACTCTGAAGTGACCTCAAACTCAGAGATCCATCTGCCTCTGCTTCCCAACTGAGATTAAAAGTGTGCGCCACCAGGCCTTGCTCAGCTGGGATTTCTTAAGAAGATGATTTTATGTTTACTTATGTGTCTGTGTGTGGGTATTGTGCACATGAATGCAGGGACCTGAGGCGGTCAGAGGTATTGGATCCCTTGGAGCTAGAGTTACAGATGGTTGTGAGCTGCCCCATGTGGGTGCTGAGAACTGGGTTTAGATCCTATGCGGGAACAGTAAGCCACCTCTCCAACCTTTCTGCTCTCCTGGTGCACACCCTATCAGGACATGGGCTTTCTGAGCCCAGTTTCCTCATTTGTCAAGTAGGATTGATAGAACCGTTTTCGTGGATGGTTAAGTGAACGGGTAGTCACAAACCACAGAGAAGAGTTGCTGGCCGGAGGGAGGCTCTAGGTGTCTTGTGGTTTCCATCCATGCTCCCCAGCCTGAGTGGGACCAAGTCCCATACAGTTTTATGTCGATGCCATTTGGGATTGTTAAAAAGAAGAGACTGGGGGCTGGAGAGATGGCTCAGAGGTTAAGAGCACTGGCTGTTCTTCCAGAGGTCCTGAGTTCAATTTCCAGCACCCACATATGGCTCACAACCATCTGCAATGAGATTTGGTGCCCTTTTCTGGCCTGCAGGCATACATGCAGACAGAACACTGTATACGTAATAAATAAACCTTAAAAAAAAAAAGAAGAAGATACGGGGAGCAAGGAAGAGAGCTCCACTCTGATGTGTCTGATACTCTCTTGCAGACTGAGGGGGCGAGTCCACCATTCACAGCTCGGGTGCCCAGCTCTGCCTCAGCCTATGACCAGAGAGGACTGGCCCCTGGTCAGGACTACCAAGTCACCGTCCGTGCTCTACGAGGGACCAGCTGGGGTCCTCCTGCCTCTAAGACCATCACTACCAGTGAGAGCTGGGGCTATGGGGGCAAGACATCTGGATTTGGCAGGCAGCTGGGAATCTGCTTGGGCTGGGGCTGCACCGGAGCAGAAGCAAGCGGATTCACTTCTGAGCCATCTTCTGTCTAACCCTGCTAGTGATCGATGGTCCTCAGGACCTCCGAGTGGTAGCCGTGACTCCGACCACTCTAGATCTCAGCTGGCTGCGTCCCCAGGCTGAGGTGGACCGATTTGTGGTGTCCTACGTCAGTGCCGGCAACCAAAGGGTGCGTCTGGAAGTTCCCCCTGAGGCAGACAGGACTCAGCTAACCGACCTGATGCCAGGCGTGGAGTATGTGGTGACTGTCACCGCAGAACGGGGCCGTGCAGTCAGCTACCCGGCTTCTATCAGGGCAAACACAGGTACGGCATTCCGAGTGTTAGGGAAGAGCCTAGTTTCCAAGGCTGGGAGCCCTCTCCTTGAGGACCCAGGCTGGAGGGTCACAGACGGCTGTGGCAATCCCAGCACCCCTGCTAGGTCCTGCTCTGTTCTAAAGGCTCCGGGTGCCTGGAGTCCTATAGGAAGCTTGCAGGTTAGACTGGGAGGGAAGCAGTGTGCAGATGCTGTGAACCCTTCAGGGTAGGGTGGCTTTTATCCTAACCTAGGTACATAGGCAGTGGACAATTTGATCTCGGGAGACTAGAGCGAAACAGGTCCTGCTGACTTTGGGACTGGGATTGCCTGGGGTTGGGTCTCATAACGTGGTTTTCCACCAACCCTCAAGGTCTCTTAACAGGTGCCCAGACGGATCGTTCATTTTCCTGGGACAAGGTGGCGCCCTCGGAGTCGCTCACATTTCCTACCCCCTTTCCCGCTCTCTCCACCAGATAAACGCCCCGCCTGCTGGCTTTTTTTCCTTCTAGGGCACCAACAGTGGCTGGCTTGGAGGGCAAAGGGATGCGTGGGGCTCAGGGACACTTAATTTCTCTTTCTAGGTGGGGCTGGACCTCAGGGAAGAGGCCTCGTGCTTGGTGGGTTAGCGGGATCTGTGGTGGTGAGGAGGAGCATGCGGTGGGGGAAGCTGACACTGACCTGATGTCCCCTCCCCCTTTCTCACTCGGCAGCACCAGGCCACTACGGTTACCCGGAGGTGCACCCCCCAAACCCGCCCCCCAGCCCCCGTCCCCGGCCTCCGCGGCCCTCCTGGCCCTTGCGGCCCACAGAGGGGATCGCGAAGGAGTGGCATCCCCGGCCAAGCCTGCCCCAACCTCCCCGACGGCCGTGGGGTAACCTGACGGCTGAATTGGGCCGCTTCCGCGGCACAGTACAGGACCTGGAGCGTCACCTGCGTGCCCACGGTTACCCATTGCGCGCCAACCAGACTTACGCGTCGGTGGCGCACCACATCCATGAGTTCTTGAAGCGCCACCAGACAGCGGGTGCCCCGGCACCCAAGCCCCATCACCCCCACCCCACCACTAGTCCCTCCCAAAGCACCAGGAACCGGGAATCGAACCAGGGAGATGTGAACCCAGCGTCCGATGATGCGCACCTGGTGACCACAGCGCGTCACCCGAAGCCCGAGGTGCTGGGCAGTGCAGCCGACGGCGCCTTGATCGTGTCCCTCGACGGGCTCCGGGGCCAGTTCGAGCGTGTGGTATTGCGCTGGCGACCACTGCCACCCGCCAAGGGCCGGAGCGGGGAGCTGACTGTGGATGGCTCAGAACGCACTGTCCGCTTACCCAACCTCAGACCTGGCACTACTTACCACGTGGAGGTCCATGGGGTGCGGGCAGGGCAGACCTCCAAATCCTACGCCTTCATCACCACCACAGGTAGTGTGGACTGGGACCCTGGACTGCCCAACCCCTGTCCAGCGTCACCTGCCTCCGAGGTTGCGGCCACTTCCTCCTCCCACTGTCTCACTGCTTAGGCTTCTGCCCCCACCATGCCCTTCCACCTCCTAGCCTACCTGGCCAGGCTGGAGGACACTGCCACAGAAAGCAGCCCTCCAGTGTCCCAAAAGCCCCATCCCAGGGTCCTGGCATTCTCCTAAGGGTTACTAAAGCCAAAGAAACCTGGTTTGTGGGGTTGCCTGGCTCGCACCTGGGCTCCCAAGCTCTTCCTCAATGCCTGTTCTTGCCAGGCAAATCCGGCATCTTGACATGGCAACGCGATGTTGTGTGCAAAGTTCATACCTTGCACTTGAAGTTTCTTTTTTTTTTATTGAAGAAACAAACAAACAAACTACCATCCATAATGCTTTTGGCAAGTTTATAGCCTTGTGTAGGGCAGCACTCACAGCTGACCTGCAGCTTGGACACCTCCAAGGCGAGCTGCGGAAGACTTGGGTGTTAGCAGAGATTTGCCCGGCAGTTTTTTTCAGTGGGTGGGACTGAAACCGGAGATTCCCACTTTGACTCACTGCGGTGAGGGCGCCTGAAGCCTGTGGTCTGTGGTTATTTCCCACAGTTTGGCTTTGACCCTGCAGGGCTGCAGAAGTGCTTGAGGGTGGCCTTGAAAGCCATCAGGCACGCGCGTGGTGTGTGCGTGAGTGGATGGCCGTGTGTGTGGTGTGAAACCACGGCTTCCTGAACTGCTTTCCCAGGCGTGGCTCCCCTCCAGCTGGTCTCTCCCACAGGACTGATACCTGACCCGGGGACAGGGGGCTTTGCGGCTGCAGGGTGGGGGTGGACCTCTTCTTCCTCCATAGGGCCCAGATGCCACCGGAACTGGACGTCCACCCTCACACCCTCTCTTTTCCCTTTCTGCCCACCACCTCTTTTCTTCCTAACATCACCGCCCCTTCCTTTCTTCCAGGCTTCTCACTGCAACACTAATGGAAGGCAGGACACCACCGGTGTGGGAGGCTCCTGGGCAGGGAGGGGCGGCAGGTTGTCATTGCCTGCCCTGAGCCAGGCCTGGCCGCTCCAGATAAGCACCATGGGGGAATCTGGAGGACTTGGCCAAGTGTGAGAAGAACCCAGACAGGGCTGGGGAGCAGCTGGGGAGGGGAGGGGAGCCGCCTAGCTCAGAGGCTGTGGGCACACTTGGGGACTAAAGGGTCCCTTCCTTCTCTCATACCCAACTCTCCTGTTTTTCTCACCCGCTCTGCCCCTTCCCAGGGTCCTTACCCTCTGGCCTCTTGGAGGCCACCGATGAGCCTCCTCCCTCGGGCCCCTCTACGACCCAAGGGGCCCAGGCCCCTATCCTGATCATGGAGCATCACCCGCTGGGAGAGTTGAAGGTGCTGGGCAGAGACAAGGCAGGGCGCCTCCGTGTGGCCTGGACTGCCCAGCCCGACACCTTTGCCCACTTCCAGCTGCGCGTGCAGGTGGCCGAGGGGCCCTGGGCATATGAAGAACTGCTACCAGGAGACGCCCACCAGGCTCTGGTGCCCCCGCCCCCTCCCGGAGCCCCTTACAAGCTGTTCCTCCATGGGATCACCCCTGGGGGCAAGCCCTCTGTTCCCATCACCTACCAAGGCATTATGGGTACATTCTGGACTGTGCTCAGAGCAGTGTCCTGAATCTGGGGGAGGAGCTGGGGCATCTCAAGGCTCTAGAGGTAGGAAGGATTTCAGGGGCCGGTGAAAGGCAGGTCTAACGGAGGATAAGAGAAAGCAGAAGGGAGAGAAAGGCTTGAGAGCTCACAGGGAAGGTGGCTAGGAAGAAAGTCAGAGGTGGGTGGTGACCCATCCAGGAGGTGACCCTGCTCAGGTACGCCTCACTTCCTGGTTACTCCTCTGCTCTGCCCCAGGGTCATAGAGTTCAACGTAGATGGAACTCCGTTCCAGCACTGCCCCTTAGCTGTACCTTCCCCTGGAGACAGTACCTGCAGTTAAAATGAACAGTTTTTCTGGGGATAAAATCTTCTGTGTGTGTGTGTGTGTGTGTCTCTCTATGTGTGTCTGTGTGGTATTGTGTGTGTGTCTGTGTGTGTGTCTGTGTCCGTGTGTGTCTCTCTGTGTGTCTGTGTGTGTGGTATTGTGTGTGTGTGTCTATGTGGTATTGTGTGTGTGTGTGTCTGTGTGTGTATGTCTGTGTGTCTGTGTGTGTCTCTGTGTGTCTGTGGTATTGTGTGTGTGTCTGTGTATGTGTGTGTCTCTGTGTGTCTGTGGTATTGTGTGTGTGTGTGTGTGTGTGTGTGTGTTGTATTCAGGGGGTTCTACTGCCGTCACAACTTCAGAGATGGGTGGGAAGGACAGGTCTGGATGCCTGGCCCTCACACCCCTGGGGTTCTCCCTGTGAGACTAGATTGGTCTGGTTCAGGTCTGGAATAAGCTGACAATTAGGAGAGAGGGGAGCAAGGGAGAGAGCAGCTCAGGGGTTTGGGGAGCCTGAAGACTGCTCTGAAGCACCAGTGGGGGAGGCTAGAAACTCCCAGGTAATGCCACAGGGGACACAAAGCTCTCCTTAAAGTTTTAGGGTACAGAGGTGGGGCCATCAAGAGGGGACTTAGAGAAAATGTATCTTTCTCAGGAGGGTCAGGGATAGAGGCATCCAGGATGAGGTGGGTGAGGCAGAGCAGAGGGCGGGAGACAGGGTTAAGGGGAGCGGTTGGTCCAGCATTGCTTTGTCTTTGTCCCAAATGCCAGACAGGACTGAGGAGCAGCCTGGGAAGCCATCGGTCCTACCGCGCCTGGGTGAGCTGACGGTGACAGACCTGACTTCTGACTCCCTGCTCCTGCACTGGACTGTCCCAGCGGGGGAGTTCGAGTCCTTTGTGATCCAGTACAAGGACAAAGATGGGCCCCAGGTGATACCTGTGGAGGGACCCCAGCGCTCAGCCCCCGTTACATCCTTGGAACCGGGGCGCAAGTACAGATTTGTTCTGTATGGGCTCGTCGGCAAGAAGAGGCATGGCCCTTTGGTGGCTGAAGCCAAGATCTGTGAGTGACAGCAGGCACCCCTGCCCTTCGCTTTGTCATGCTGAAGTAGTTTGCCCCAGAGCTTTCGGGTCCAGGGAGATGGTGTGGGGCCCATAGCAGCCTGTGCTGTGTTACACCCTGAAGGGAAAGCACTGGGGGCAGCAGAGATGAGGAGGTAGGGGCAGCAGAGGGGGTGGTCTCCCAGAGAACCCACAGCATTCTTCTGGCTGGAGAGCAGGACATGTGGGGTGCTGAAGACTTAGTCCTGGGGTTCTGCGGGCTGTGCGGGATGTTCGACCTCATTTGGGAGCCCTGAGGGACCCCTGAAGGCCTCTGGATGAGAGTGAAGTGATGGGCTACGTTAGAAACAGCAGTGTCTGCTCCTGGGGCATGACGGAATCAGTCAGCAGCTGGTGACTGACGGCTGATGCTGGTCTGGAACGGTGGCAGTGGGACTGGGTGTGAGAGGAGAGCCTGAAGGCCAGGTGTCCCCCCCCCCCCCCCCCCCGTTCAGCCACTTCTGTCCCCCAGGCGGCAGCAGGGGGGGAACAATACAGGGCAGGACATTCAGAAAAATACCTTCTGTGTGTCTCTGGAGCCAGTGAGCTCAGGGCATTCTTGAACGACAATAGGTCCATGGAGCAGCCTTAAGCGGCACCACTGAGGTACAAGAGGGTTGCCTGACCGCGATCAGAGGGACCTCAACTGTGACCTGGTAGCTGTGGGGAGCAAGGGAGCAGAGGTGGAGAGGCACCAGGATAGTGTCCCAGATGCTGGGAGGAGGGGGCAGTCAGGCAGGGTCCACAGGAATGAATTAGGGCTCTCCAGGGTCCACAGGACTTAGCAATGGCCAGGTCACCAGGAGCTGCCTGATGGAGGGCAGAGCTGGATTGGAGGTGATGGATACAGACATTTTTGGAATCCTCTGGCAACAGAGTGCAAAGAAAGAGATAGGTTGGTTCAGAAAGCGGGTACAGGCAGGGACAGGGGCATGGCAGACCGCAGCAGGTGGATGGGTGCACCCACGGGTGTCCTCTCCTGAAGGAGAAACTAAAAGCTAAGTTGGAAGTATGGAGGCTGCCTAGGGAGATTTCACACAGATGTGAAAGGCTGGCTTTGTCCCCCCTCGCCTCCGGAGCCGGAGCCTCTTCCCCTTGGCTGGGAGTATAATGCATTAGGCTGTTTAGAAGGTGTCACTCCTTCCTGCAATCCGGTCAAGCCCCTCACAGAGCTCGCAGCTCGGCAGACCCCGCTGGCTCCCTCCCCAGTCATGCGTCTTTGCACAGGGAGCAGCCTGCCCAGGACCGCCTTCCTCCCATGACTCTCCTGTCTCTACTCCCCCTTCCCAGTGCCTCAGAGTGACCCCGACCCAGCATCTCCACCCCACCTGGGAGAGTTGTGGGTAACAGACCCCACCCCGGATTCCCTGCACCTCTCTTGGACTGTTCCTGGGGGCCAGTTTGACTCCTTCATGGTCCAGTACAGAGACAAGGAAGGACGGCCCCTTGTGGTGCCAGTGGAGGGGCCTGAGCGGTCAGCCGTGATCTCCCCGCTGGAGCCCAATCACAAGTACAGATTCACTCTGTTTGGAATTGCCAATAAGAAGCGGTATGGGCCCCTCACTGCGGACGGCACTACCGGTGAGTGGCTGCCACCTAAGCCTTGTGTCCTCTTCTTGATCTCTGCCCGCTCTCCCTCAGCCAGAAAGAAGCTGAGCCTCCCAGCAAAATCACTGATCCCAACACCCTGGCCCTGCTCCCAGGCTAAGGGGCAGCCAGCTTTCCCTGCACAGCTAGGCCCCTTCCATCCCATTCAGGGTGCTCCCTTAAGCCCAGGAGCTGTGTCATATGCTGGCTGTGACCAGCTTCCCAGGGTCGGGTGTTTAGAGTGTGTACCCCAGGTCCAAATCTCAACCCCCATCCCAGGCTGTGCGTTCTTTTTGCTTACAGCCCCAGACAGGAAAGAGGAGTCCTCTGAGCAGCCCCTCCTGGGGGAACTGACGGTGACTGGCGTGACCCCGGACTCCCTGCATCTGTCCTGGACGGTGGCCCAGGGCCCCTTCGACTCCTTTGTGATCCAGTACAAGGATGCCCAGGGGCAGCCCCAGACTGTGCCCGTCGCAGGGGATGAGAATGAGGTCACTGTCCCTGGCCTGGAGTCCAACAGGAAGTATAAGATGAACCTCTACGGGCTTCGTGGCAGGCAGCGTGTGGGGCCCATGTCTGTGGTGGCCAAAACGGGTGAGTCAGAACCCACACTGCTGGCCCCAGGCCCCAGGCAGGGCTGCCCCCCCCCTCCACTCCACCTTCCATCTCTGCAGTCCTCCTGCTGAGACCTCTGCCTCCTTCCTCCCAGCTGCTCTTCTGTCCCCACGTCCATCCCCGGGACTCCTTTCCCAGGCTCTGACTCCTCACACTGCTTCCAGAGTTCGCTTTCCCCATTCCGAACAGTCAGACCCTCTCCTCCAGGCCCTTCTACTTCAGCCAGAGTTTGCAGCTGCTTCTCCTGGATGCCTTCAGTCCTGACTCAGTCCCTGGCCATCACTGCTGGGCTCCTGCCCTCGGCTCCGGCACCCTGACCACATGGCTGCTCTGTGCAGGAGTGGCAGGGCCAGGGGGCCATGTTGCTCCAGCCTCTTTCCACATGGAAAGGAGTCTTTTTAGCCTCCCACTCCCCAGCTCCTAGTCTGGCTCTGAGCCTTATCTGTCCTCCATGTCCCCAGCCCCTCCGGTCCGCTGGTGATACACTGCTAGGGAGAACGGTCTTTGGAGGCCGCTGCCCGTCCCTGACTACTGACTTCATAAGTCAGTGCCCATAGGGCCTTGGGCCAGTCACTTAATCTCGCTGCTTCTGGCTTCTGTTCTGCCAAGCGGGGGTCTTTATGGTGATACCCCTTGGCACTGTTAATATCCGAAGCATGGTAAGACACACCCTTAACACAGTGCCTTGAAGGCTGAGGCAAGAGATTTGCTGAATCCCAAGTCAGGCTGGGCTGCACGGTAAGACCTTACCTAAAGTACAGCTGACTCTGCCTCAGAACACCTGTGAGCCAGTTCTGTGGAAGCCAAGCCACCGCTGCCTCCCCAGCACCCCCTTTTGCTCCTGACCTCCCCACATAACACCATAGCCACTGTTTGCCTCTTGTCTGCTCCCTCCCCGTTCTGCTCCTGTTCTTCATAGAACCCCAGGGTCTCAGAAACCCACTGCAGGGAACAGTAGGTGAGGACCCTGGGTGGGGTCCAGGGAGTTGTACATGCAGGAAGGAGCAGGACTCTCCCCAGGCCTGCCTACCCGATGCCACCTTCCCTGAATTCTAGGCAGTGACCTTACCTCAGCAAAGCATTCCTTAGAAATGGTGGGGTCTGGTGTAGGGAGGGAGCAGGCAGCTTCAGAAGGCCGCTTTAGGGACTGGGTGTTGGATACCAAGGCCACAGGGGTCCTAAGACTTCAGGAGAGGAGCATATGCGCTTTGGTGCCCCGCTGACTGGCCATCACTGTTAAGTGCCTGCTCTCTTTCCTCAGCCCCACCACACATTGTGGGTCAGCCCCCCAGCCCCCCAGAGCCCAGCACAGAGGCCCCAGAGCCCCTCAAGAAACCGCTTCTAGGAGAGCTGACTGTGACAGATGCCACTCCTGACTCCTTGAGCCTCTCCTGGACAGTCCCCGAAGGACAGTTTGACCACTTCCTGATCCAGTACAGGAACGGGGATGGGCAGCCCAAGGTGGTGCGGGTGCCAGGGCACGAGGACCAGGTCACCATCCCCGGCCTGGAGCCAGACCACAAGTACAAGATGAACCTGTATGGCATCCACAGTGGCCAGCGTGTGGGCCCCGTGTCTGTTGTCGGGGTGACAGGTGAGTGGACATGGGAGACTCAGGGTGGGACCCATCAGGAAACAGGACCTCCAGCTCTTTGGAGACTAGTGACTGGGGAATGGTGGCCAAGGACTGGTCAGTCCCCCAGATCTGTTCTGGCCAAAGCTATGGCTTACTATTGTATGCCTTCCCCTTGGTCTGACCAGTCTCCCTGGGCAGCAGGGCCACAGACAGCTTTGCTGTTCTGGTGTCCAGTTCCCCCCAGCTGACCCAGGAGCTTGGGCATGATGTCCATCTGTCAGCTGACCAGGACCCCAAAGCCCCAAGGTGGGCTTCTCTGAACTGACCTCAGAACCACCTTGGTAACTATGGCTACTCTGTCCTCACTTGAGGACACCTGTGAGGGACCCTGCTCACCTGTCTGTTCCCTTCTCAGCTGCAGAGGAAGAGACCCCCAGCCCCACAGAGCCCAGCACAGAGGCCCCAGAGCCCCCTGAGGAGCCGCTCCTGGGAGACCTGACTGTCACAGCATCGTCCCCAGACTCCCTGAGCCTCTCCTGGACCGTCCCCCAGGGAGACTTTGACTCCTTCAGTGTCCAGTACAAGGACAGTGATGGGCGGCCCCAGGTGGTGCGTGTTGGGGGCCAGGAGAGGGAGGCCATCGTGAGAGACCTGGAGCCTGGGCGCAAATACAAGATGAACCTGTATGGACTCCATGATGGCCAGCGTGTGGGCCCCGTGTCCACCGTGGGCGTGACGGGTGAGTGTGGCTGGGGTCTGGTTCTGTTCCCTCTTACTCCTGAGTCCCATGCCCCATGGCCAGGGGCTGTCTAGCTGCTGAACAGTCATAGTATCTAGACAGGGCAAGTCACCCAGGGCCAGGGCTATCACCAGCTTCGTGACAGACAGCTGGCAAGGATTCGGTGAAGCCATCTGTGTGTGCATGTTGTTGCTATTGTATCTGATGCGTGTGTCACGGTGCATGTACAGACATCAGGGGACAGCTCTGTGAATCTGGCTCTCTCCTTACACCTCTCCATGGATCTTAGGTTACCAGGCTTGCTCAAAAGTGCCTGTGCCGGCTGAGCCGGATCGCCGGTGCCAGAGCCACCAGATTGCTGGTGAAGCTTCTGGACGGGAGTGCTGCCGATCGGTGCAGTCTTGCGTATGGCACTCTTAGGAACTTTTTCTAGCAGGCTCCACCATTTCTGTCTCAGACTCGCGACCAGAAGAGCCCTCTCCGGCCATCGAGCCCCGTCTGGAGGAGTTGACAGTGACGGGTGTGACCCCCAATTCTGTGAGCCTCTCATGGATGGTCCCTGATGGACAGTTCGACTCCTTCATGGTCCAGTACAAGGACAGGGATGGGCAGCCCCAGGAGGTGCCTGTAGCTGCTGACCAGCGCGAGGTCACCATCCTCGACTTGGATCCTGCAAGAAAATACAAGATGAACTTCTACGGGCTCCATGGCAGACGACGTGTGGGCCCCCTCTCTGTGCTGGCAATGACAGGTGAGGGAGGGAGTCAGGCGGTACCCAGCCCTGGTGACCCACAGTCCCAGCCCTGCCTGGGACTGCCATCCTTTAGCCTCTGCACCGGTGACTACAGGCCTCTCTCAGGCTCACAGTCATGAGTCCATCCCCCAAACCCCCCAAACCGTTGGCTTCTGCCTAAGGCTGGGACCTTCCCACACCCAGTGGTTTCCTTATCTGCACTCCAAGCCTAACCCTGCCTCCCATCTGGCCTCCATCCCTCTGTTCCTCCCCTCTCTGCCCTCCCCCGTCTCCTCTCTTTGACTGCACAGCTGTTTTACTTTTTCTTCCCGCCTCTTGACAACCCTACAGTGACTTGAACACAGCCCCCGCCCCCTGTGATTTGAACACAGCCGCCGCCTCCCCAATCTCTGCCCTTCTTCACTGAGGTCAAGCACACACACACAATCTCAGAACTTCTCAAAGGTCCTGGGTGTCTGTCCAAGTCACATTCCCTTCTGGCCCACTCCAACATCACCCCTGGGGAAGACATGCCTCCCTGAACTCCAGGCTCCTGCTTCCTCTCTTTACTCCCGGACATAAGCTCACTGTGACTCACGGACCATGGCTTCTGGGGGAATCCCTATCCTCTCTCAGTACATGGCATGAAAATCTAGAAAACAGAATTCATATGATCACGAAGGACACTAACAACGTGGATATAATCAGCATTCCATATCTTCAGAGGTTTCACGTGCAGCTGCAGACAGAATAGACACACAAAAATATATAACTTTTTACATGTGTGTGAGCATGTGCGAACACGTGTAGACGCTCACTTATCACAGCGTGATGAAGGCTGAAGAACAACTTTCCATCTACCGTCTGGGTCCTAAGGATTGAAGTTAGGTCACCAGGCAAAGGCCTTTACCCACGGAGCCATTTCACCAGACCCAGAAAAAAAAAAATCTAAAACACACTCCTCCTCAGGCCTGTGGAGACAGGTCAGTGAGCAGTTGCACAAGTGTGAACACCCGAGATCAGATCCCCAGAACCCATGGGAGATGCTGGGCATGGTGGAGAAGGCTTGCAATCCCCACATTGCGGAGGCAGAGACAGGAGAGTCTCTGGGGCTCACTGGCCAGCCAGCCTTGCCTAGTCGGCAAGCTTAAAGTCCAGGGAGGGTCTGTGTCTCAGAAGAAAATGAGGCAGACGGCTACTGACGAACAGCCCAAGAGGCCTCTCCGCGTACACACACACGTGCTCACCTGCATGCACGTGAACATGTATGCACACATACATGTATGTTCACCTACACACATGAAGACTCACACCATGTGCATACTCACCTGCACACACATGAACACTCACACCATGTGCATACTCACCTGCACACATATGAACACTCACATGAACACTCACACCATGTGCATACTCACCTGCACACACATGAACACTCACACCATGTGCATACTCACCTGCACACACATGAACACTCACACCATGTGCATACTCACCTGCACACACATGAACACTCACACTATGTGCATACTCACCTGCACACACATGAACACTCACACCATGTGCATACTTACCTGAACACATATGAACACACACATGCACTTGCATGCTCATTTGCACACACGTGAACACATGCACACACGTGTGTTCGTATTAAATGGGTTTATAAACCAGATAGTTGCCAACCGTTTGTATAGCAGTTACATTGCTTGAGGCGCAGCAAGCTATTTGGAGGTGATTCAAAGTTTTCAGGATGTGCAGAGACTGCCACCCCCTATGAGGGACCTGAGCATCCTTGGGTTTGGCGTTCATGGAACCATCTTATGGATATCGACTGATCAATGTGCCATTATCAAAACAGTTTACTCTCTGATTTATGACCTGGCAGTGCCGGGGCCTTTCTGTCAGCTCACTTAGAGTGCAAACAGTGCTTTGATGCCCCCGGATGACTCTAAGGCCACGCTAAAGGTGCCTTTCTGTTGGTGAGAGTCACGAGTGCACTTGACACCATCTTGGTGGCCAGGCTGTTATTGGCCACCGAAGATAAAGAGGAAACTTTCCCACGTCACCGTCAGCCCCCAAGGCGGGCAGAGCCAGGTCTCTTCCCAGGAGCTCAACCATGCTTTGCTTCTCATCCTAGACATCCTCCCACCAGCTCCAGCCACTGAGACCGCCAAGCTGGAATCACTCTTGGGGGAGCTGGCCGTGACAGATGTGACCCCCGAGTCCGTGGGCCTCGTGTGGACTGTCCCTGAGGGTGAATTCGACTCCTTCGTGGTTCAGTACAAGGACAGGGATGGCCAGCCCCAAGTGGTGCCTGTGGCAGCCGACCAACGGGAGGTCACCATCCCAGGCCTGGAGCCCTCCCGCAAGTACAAGTTCCTGCTCTTTGGGGTCCAAGATGGGAGACGGCACAGTCAGGTCTCTGTGGAGGCGAAGACAGGTGAAACTGCATGACACTCTGCTTCCCTGAAGTGTCTGAACTTCCTGCTAGCTAGCTACCTTCCTGTTTACCCAGCCCAGTCCAAATCAGGTTGGGACCCAACAGGGCAGGTTCTCAAATCCTCTCTTTCCTTCATTTGCTCTGCTGCTGGACCTTCTCTAGAAGGTGGGCTGTGGGGGCCTGGGGCCTCTTGAGAGGGGTAAAGGTGGCCAGGGGCCTCTCCTGTCCTCCTCAGCTGGGTGCCACTGTCACAGCCTGAGTTTGGCTTGTCTCCCTGGCTCTTACCTGGCTCCCATCCCTCTGTCCACACATCCGCTTCTGGTAGAGAGGTTCACCTTCCTCCCTTGACTTCTCAGAGCCTGGGAAAATGGAAACCAGAGAAACCCTACCCAGCTGGACCATTTCTTGGGGTTTGGTCCAGGCCATCTTCTGGCCCTTGGGGCTCCCCATTGCCAGAAGTCTCTTGCAATAACAATTCCGTCAGTGGCTTTGCTGTCCAGGAGGGCGGCGGGCCAGCGCCTTCCCAAGTTGGATGGCTCCTTTGGCAGTCACGGGATCCCTTCTCTGTGGGAGTTCTCATGTGTGTGTCACTCCCAACACAAATCCCCACAGCATGTGACGGAGCGAGCCCCACACCACCTCTGAGCCCTGTGGAGTGTGGGTGTTGTGAGTCAAATGGGAGGCTGGGCCACACTGAACCCCCATTGCACCCCACCTCCCCCACTTGTCTGTCCCCAACAGAGAGCCTCTCACCCCTAGGAATTCCCCAGGGGGCCATTCAGGTCACTCAGCTGGGGTTTCTGGGTAAGCTGTGCCCTGCAGAAAGGGAGTCTCTAAGGGATAGAAAGACCGTAGTCAGAGAGAAGGAGCAAATGAACAGGGAGGTTAGGGTGTCCATACGGGGGTGACTCGAGACAGAAGGATCAAGTGGGGGAGGCTCTGGCTAGGTGGGGGAGTGGATGAGAGGGTAGTGAAAGTGGATGGGGAGGCATTAACCACTGGGCCACTCTGGAATTTTCCAGCCCGAGGGGGAGGTGGTCAAGAATCGTTTTGGAAAAAATAAATACAAGAACCTTTCTCTGTGTTAGCCGCCAGCCCAGGGGCCCTTCCACACCTTGGGGAGCTGTGGGTGACGGACCCCACGACAGATTCCCTGCGCCTGTCCTGGACAGTCCCCGAGGGCCACTTTGACTCTTTCGTGGTCCAGTTCAAGGACAAGGGTGGGCCTCGGTTGCTACCGGTACCGGGCCAAGAGCACACAACCACCATCACAGGCCTGGATGCAGGCCGCAAGTACAGATTCCTTCTCTATGGGCTTCAGGGAAAGAAGCGCTTTGGCCCCCTCTCCACAGAGGGCACCACAGGTGAGTCTTCCTGGCAGGGCCCAGAGCAGCAGGCCAGCTTAAGGCAGCAACCCCTCCTCTCCCTGCCCTGCCCATCAAGGTCACAGCCCACGACCATCTGAACTATTTCTTGCCTCTGTCTCCATCCCAGAGCCCATGAATACTGTGGACCACACTGGAGTAAAGTCCCCCTCAAAACCTCGCCTAGGGGATGAACTGCAGGTGACTAGTGTGACCCAAGACTCCGTGGACCTCTCCTGGACAGTCTCCGAGGGCCAGTTTGACTCCTTTGTCGTCCAGTACAAAGACAGGGACGGGCAGTCCCAGGTGGTGCCTGTGGAGGGCAGCCATCGGGAGGTCAGGGTCTCTGGTCTAGACCCAGGTCGCAGGTACAAGCTGCTTCTCTATGGCCTCCAAGAAGGCAAGCGTGTGGGTCCCCTTTCTGTCATCGCTATGACTGGTAAGTGCAAAACACTCCCCTCACCCCTGTGCCCCCAATCTGTTCGGGGCCTGACCGCCTGCCCTCCATTGGCCAAGCAAATAGACAGGTCATAGAAAAAAGCAGAAAGAAAGTTTTATCCAACGTGACCACGTTGGGAAGAGAAGCAAAGAGGTCCAGTGTTCCCTCAAATCCATCTTTGGGGTCTTGACATTAGGTTTAAACAGAGAGCCAGAGGTGTATCTATAGCTAAGCAGGCCCAGTCAAAAGCTGGTCCTACCCATCAGTTCCAGTCTCCTGCATGGTGGGCTGACGAGCTGTCACTGTTGGGTGACATCTCCTTCCAGAAGACATGTTACCCCTCCTGCTGGCTGGAGCCTTAACCTTTTCCTTCTCTCGTCATGGGATTCCTGGGCAATTTAACTTGGGGCAGGGTGGGGTTTGTTTTGATGCTCTGATGGCCCACGGGAGGGATACAAGGTCCCCTTAGGGAGGCTTCACTCCTGCCCGGTTTTAAGGTCCTCTTTGCACTTGGTTCCCCAGGCCCTGGCAGCCACTGGGATGCTTCCTGTCCTCTGGGGTTGGCCTCTCTGCACCTTATTTTAGACTCCTGCAAAATGCAGAATCTTCTACTTGGCGTTTGGCACGTCAAATGCTTCTGCTAACCCTCCTTCTTCTGCCTTCCTCCCTTCTCCCTCCCACTCTCTCCTTCCCCAAACCTCTCCCCCTCTTCAACATATGAGACCAGCAACACAGCAGGCACCTGCTCTCCCATCTCTCTGATCCAGGCCCCAAAGAAACAACAGAAGCTTGGACAGAGGTCCCCACGACTTCAACTCCTGCAGTTGTACCCCGCTTTGGAGAGCTGAGAGTGGAGGAGGCCACACCGCACAGCCTGCATCTCTCCTGGGTAGTGATGGAAGGAGAATTTAACTCCTTCGAGGTTCAGTACACTGACAGAGATGGGCAACTCAAAGTGGTCAATACAGAAGGTGACCAGAGTGATATCACCCTTACTGGTCTGGAGTCCGACCACAGATACCTGGTGACCCTGTATGGTTTCCATGACGGGCAGCGTGTGGGCCCTGCTCAAATTGAGGCCCTGACAGGTAAGTGAGAGTTTGGGTCTCACCTAAACAGCTGCAAAGATCCAGAGAGAGAAAAGTTCCCGTGGTCATCTCCCTCTCTCCGTGCCCAGTGCCGTGGGAGGAGGAGCCCACAGAACCACCCACCATGACTCCCGAGCCTAAGCCACACCTGGGCGAGCTGTATGTGACAGATGCCACCCCTGACTCCCTGAGCCTCTCCTGGACAGTCCCCGAAGGACAGTTTGACCAATTCGTGATCCAGTACAAGAACGGGGATGGGCAGCCCAAGGTGGTGCGGGTGCCAGGGCACGAGGACCAGGTCACCATCCCCGGCCTGGAGCCAGACCACAAGTACAAGATGAACCTGTATGGCATCCACAGTGGCCAGCGTGTGGGCCCCGTGTCTGTTGTCGGGGTGACAGGTGAGTGGACATGGGAGCCTCAGGGTGGGACTCATTGAGAGGTAACCCCCAGGTTAGGTGGGCTGAGATTGATTGCTGGCCCAGAACTGGTCAATATCAAGGCTGGCTACAACCGAGGCTATAGCCTGTACCCTCCTTTGGCTGCTTGTCTCCCTGGGCCAGGGGTTCCAAAGAAGCCTTTGCTATGCTGGTAGCCGCTAAGGTTACAGCAGGTCACCCTAAAAGCTTGAGCATGTTGGTCAACTGTCAGCTGACCGGGAGGGGCTCCAAGCCCCAAATGGAGGACATCTCTGAGCTGGCCTCAGAACCACCTTGGTAACTACGGCTACTCTGTCCTCACTTGAGGACACCTGTGGGGGACCCTGCTCACCTGTCTGTTCCCTTCTCAGCTGCAGAGGAAGAGACCCCCAGCCCCACAGAGCCCAGCACAGAGGCCCCAGAGCCCCCTGAGGAGCCGCTCCTGGGAGACCTGACTGTCACAGCATCGTCCCCAGACTCCCTGAGCCTCTCCTGGACCGTCCCCCAGGGAGACTTTGACTCCTTCAGTGTCCAGTACAAGGACAGTGATGGGCGGCCCCAGGTGGTGCGTGTTGGGGGCCAGGAGAGGGAGGCCATCGTGAGAGACCTGGAGCCTGGGCGCAAATACAAGATGAACCTGTATGGACTCCATGATGGCCAGCGTGTGGGCCCCGTGTCCACCGTGGGCGTGACCGGTGAGTGTGAGTAAAGTCTTTTACGTCTCAGGCAAGTAGAGCCCTCACTGTCTCCTACAGCAGAGACGCAGGACCCCAAAACTCCTCAGCCTCTAACCTGTCCCTGACCTCCAATGCCTCAGGTCAAATGCGATCTGGGGCAGGGCTGCCTGGTTAGGATGAGGGAGGAGAAGGAGGAGGAGAAGGAGGAGGAGGAGGAGGAGGAGGAGGAGGAGGAGGAGGAGGTTACAAACAGGGAAGAGAGCGTGATCAGGCCTAGATACAGCCTCCTTCTGACCCACACGCCAGAGACTTGGGACTTGGGAACTCCTTCCAGAAATACAAAGCTTCTGTTTTCTGTCGTCCGCAGACTCTACTGAAGAACCTACTGAGGCCTCATCCCTGAAGCCCAGCCTGGGCGAGCTGACCGTGACAGACGCCACCCCTGACTCGCTGAGCCTCTCCTGGACAGTCCCCGAAGGACAGTTTGACCAATTCGTGATCCAGTACAAGAACGGGGATGGGCAGCCCAAGGTGGTGCGGGTGCCAGGGCACGAGGACCAGGTCACCATCCCCGGCCTGGAGCCAGACCACAAGTACAAGATGAACCTGTATGGCATCCACAGTGGCCAGCGTGTGGGCCCCGTGTCTGCTGTCGGGATGACAGGTGAGTGGACATGGGAGACCAGGGTGGGACCTCCTGGGAGGAACACACTCAAACTATTTGGTGACAGCTGGGTAGGGATCGGTGGCTGGGTGCTGTTAGCACCCCAGATCTGCTCAGCTCCACAGACCTGCGTTGCTAGCACTAAGGTCTGCTTTTCTGTGCCTTCTTCTGGGCTGGCCAGTCTCCCTGGGCAGCAGGGCCACAGACAGCTTTGCCGTGCTGGTGTCCAGGTCCCCTCAGCTGACCCAGGAGCTTGGGCGTGTTGGTCAGCTGTCAGCTGATCAGGACCCCTAAGCCCCAAGGTGGACATCTCTGAGCTGACCTCAGAACCATCTTGGTAACTATGGCTACTCTGTCCTCACTTGAGGACACCTGTGGGGGACCCTGCTCACCTGTCTGTCCCCTTCTCAGCTGCAGAGGAAGAGACCCCCAGCCCCACAGAGCCCAGCACAGAGGCCCCAGAGCCCCCTGAGGAGCCGCTCCTGGGAGACCTGACTGTCACAGCATCGTCCCCAGACTCCCTGAGCCTCTCCTGGACCGTCCCCCAGGGAGACTTTGACTCCTTCAGTGTCCAGTACAAGGACAGTGATGGGCGGCCCCAGGTGGTGCGTGTTGGGGGCCAGGAGAGGGAGGCCATCGTGAGAGACCTGGAGCCTGGGCGCAAATACAAGATGAACCTGTATGGACTCCATGATGGTCAGCGTGTGGGCCCCGTGTCCACTGTGGGCGTGACCGGTGAGTATGAACTGGGGTTTTAGGGGCGTGTCTCCTTCCAGGGCTATGTGGCCCCCTTCTCTTCCCTATCCCAGAAGGCTAAGATTTGGTTTCCTTCCATGTCCTTCCTGCTCAGCCTTGGCCTTGTTCACAGCTTCTTCCTCACTCTGACTCACACAGAAAACCACCTCCTAGTGTTTTCCCGTTTTTCTTTCTCAGTTGCAGGGGTCTTTGTTTAAGCCGCATTCACACTCATACACAGATAACTCAACAGCGTACTAGCTAGGGGTGACTACATGGCATAAACAGCATTTGTACCCTGGCGATACTTTGGTGTGGGGACCACACACGTGGTTCAGAAGTTAAGGAGGCTCTTGCAGGTGAGCCCCAGTTGGTTTCCCAGCGCCTATTTCAGGCAGCTCACATCTGCTTATAATTCCAGCCCCAGGAGGATCTGATGGTTCTGGCTTTATGTGCGCGCGCGTGTGCGCACACACACACACACGCACGCACACACACACACACACACACACACAGAGGAGAGAGACAGACAGACAGGCACAACACATGATTAAAGATAAAAATAAAAAACTGTTTGAGACAGTGTTTTTCTGTATAGCCCTGGCTGTCCTGGACCAGGCTGAGCTCAAACTCACAGAGATCTGTGATGTCAAGGGCAGCCTGGACTACAGAGGGAGATCCCGTCGTAATAAACAATGACACACAGCTCTAGTCTGAGTTAAGTCCTTGATGTGAAGGCAGAGGACCCGAGTCTGATTCCCAGGACTCACGGAAAAGAGCTGGACAGGGCTGTACATGCTCTTGATGGCAGAGCTGGCGGGGTAAAGGCAGGAAGCTCCCCAGGGCTCTCTGGCCAGTCAGCTGAGACAAATTGGTGGCCAGCGAGAGACCGTGTGCCAAATAAGTGGTTCATGCCTGTGTAGCAACAGCCACCGTGTTCTCAAGCACGCACACACACATACACACACAAGTTCCGTGATGGACTAGGGCTGTGTGGCACTGTTGGGTGCTGGTGAGAGGGAGGAATGGGCGCTTGGTGGAGGAAGTAGTTAACTGGGGGCATTTTCTTGGACTTGTCTCTTGGCTTGGACCCTTCCTGGATTCTGCCTCCCTCTTTCCTGATCACCATGATGTGGCTGTCCCACCACACCCCCTTCCCCAATGGACCAACACTCCCCCAAAGTGTGGGTCAGAATAATCTTCCCTCCCTCAAAAAATAAAATCCAAGATGAGGGAGAGAAAAGGGGGCAGCAGAGCCCAAAGATTCCGTGGGGTGCTAATCACAACCAGTTGACAATAACCAGCAAGGCAGGGGAGCAGGATGAGGCGTAGCCCACGGCGCCCACGGCGGTGTGCCTTGAGAGACGGAATGCGGCGTTCTGCACATTGCTGGGTTGCCTTGTTTTTTTTTTTTCCTGTTTTAATCTGTTCTGCATTGTGTGAATGTTCCAACACGGCAAGCATTTCTTTCCCCCCTCCACGCATTCCTTTTATAATCACAGAAAAGCAGAAAAATGCAGCCTCTCTCCCTTAGCACTCCATCTGTCTCCCCTGTCACCCTGGCAACGCTGTTCGTTTCTAATTATGAGAAAATTAAATCTGCGAGTCCCTAAGCAGCAAGGGGACAGGTAAATCACAGGTGCGCTCAGGCCCCATCCTCGGGGACACTGTGAGGGGTGGGTTAAGCCACTCAGCCACAGAGGGGCCAGCTTGTGGGTCTCCTGTGCCCTGGTGGCCGTGTAGGTGGAACGATCATTATCTCAGTCTCCCTGACTTGACAGGTCTCGTTTCTGTACGTGTGTCCTGTAGGCTGCAGGGTTGTGGGGTGTGGGGAGAACTGGGGAGCCACTGAGAGTTTGCAGCCTGGGGTAAGCTGCCGATCCTCACCCACGGCTCAGTTTCCTGTCTCTTTACCTCCTGCCACTCCTTATAAGGGCAATTCTCAGCTCACAGCAAGTAGAGAGGGCGGCCAGGGGCCCACGGCCCGTTCCTCCTTCGCCCTCCCGGTCCCCATGTCCTCTCCATCCCTCTCTGTCTGCATCACTGCCCCTTCCCATCTCCCATCACCCATCAATGTTCTGAGTCAATGACTCCTTCTCAAGCCTGCATTTTTTGTAGTGTGAAGAACGTGGCAGCCACGAGCAAAGCTTGAAAACTAGAGAGCAAAAGCTCGGTCTGGCTTTGACCCAACAGCCGCCATTAGTAACTGCGAGCTCTTGATCGTCCTGTGTGAAGCCCTGGCTTCCATGTCTAGCACCCCTACCACCAACAAAACCAAACCCAAAGCCAACGGTGTAAGCGCCCCCTAACAAAACCAATACAAAAGCCAACGGTGTAAGCGCCCCCTAACAAAACCAATACAAAAGCCAACGGTGTAAGCGCCCCCTAACAAAACCAAACCCAAACCCAACGGTGTAAGCACCCCCCTAACAAAACCAATCCAAAGCCAACGGTGTAAGTGCCCCCCTCTGCTTTCTGCATGCAGCATCTGAGTGCTCCCATGCAACATCTGAGTGCTCCCATGCGGCGTCTGAGTGCTCCCATGCAGAGGGCCCCTGCTTTTCTGAGCGCCAGTTGGTGGTAGTCATTTACCTTGTGACCGCATTAATCATCATTTTAATGGTTATCCGATGCTCTCTGGTGAAAGCCCTGCAACAAAACCGATCGTCTGTTACGGATCGTTTGAGTCCTGACACATTTTGCTGTCATGAATAATCTCATTATAAATTCTTCCATGCTGTAACTTTTTCCTGCTCTTAATAATTTTCTTAGGATAAGTGCCCAGAAATGGGATTATTAGAGCAAAGGAAACGAGCAGTATTTTGGCTCCTGACACGCACGGCCTTGTTGCCTTCTGAAGGTGTGTGGCAGGGCAGCCTGCCTAAGACAGGACAGCGGGGCCTCCAGCCTGTGGTGACCAGAGGGCCACTGTGAGGCCACATGAGCCCAGGCTTCTGCTTGAGGAAGTTTATCTGCTGGATATCCTTAACATCTGCCTGGTCCCAAGTCTTCTCCCAGGTCAGAGGTTTCTGAGAAAGAGATCCCTGACCGGAGGCCCCAGAAACCCCAGAGGATCACTTCAGAGGGATCCAGTAACCTCAAGGTCCTCCCCAGACTCCCTGAGCCTCTCCTGGATCTTGACTCTTTACAAGAATATAGATGGGTGACCCCGGTGGTAGATGCTGAGGGACAGGAGAAGGACTGTGTGAGTTGGACCATAATTGTCCCCCTGTAACCAACTTCCTGGAAGCCTCTGCTCTTAACCATCAGGGACTTCCCACAGTGCAGGTCGGGGTACAGTAGGGCCACCCAGGGTCTTCTAGCCTGCATTATTATCAAGATACAGCATTAGCCTCACTCTGGTGATAAGAACCTGGTATAGCCGGGCAGCCGCGGCTCTGGCAGGCAGAGGCAGAGCGAGTTCCAGGGACAGGCTCCAAAGTTACAGAGAGAAACCCTGTCTCGAAAGCAAAAAGAACCTGATATAACCAACTGATAAAAGTTTTGCTTTGGCTCGGTTTTTGGTGGGCTGGCCCTGTTCCTTCAGAGCCTGTTATAGACTAGCACATCACAGCAGGCCAGAGGAAAGGGGGGAGCGCCCAGCCTCACTCTCCTCTTCCAGGGCTTCCACCAGGCCACACCTCTTACGGGTCCACCTCCTCCTGCCCCAACCACCCTAGGGACCCATCATTTAATGGCTAGGTATCTGAGGGCCAGCACGGCCCCTCACAGCCAAGGAGTTGGCACTCCATGGGAATGTGTGGTCCAGCAGTCTTCCTGCCTCCATGAGTCCTCACAGAGGCTCTGTCACCATGGAAACAGTGAGAGGATGCTGGGATGTGGTCTTTTTTTTTTTTTTTTCCCCCGAGACAGGGTTTCTCTGTAGCTTTGGAGCCTGTCCTGGAACTCCCTTTGTACACCAAGTTGGCCTCGAACTCACAGAGATCTGCCTGCCTCTGCCTCCCGAGTGCTGGGATTAAAGGCGTGCGCCACCACCGCCAGGCTGGGATGCGGTCTTAACTGTACACTCCTCCAGTGTATCAACAAAGTTACAGGTGCCAGACCCAGGTGCAGACTGCATCAATGGGGAACCTTGAGCCTGGGAAATTGATGGGCTCCTGAATGAGGGGTTGGTTCACAGTCAAACAAACATGGGCTTGTGTGGAGAAGCCTGGGGACAGGCAGGGCCTAACAAAGGACACCCAAGCCAGCCTGCTCACAGGGAACCTCCGAGACCTGAAGTCTAAGAGGCACGAGTTTGGGAGCAGATTTAGGAAGAGTAAATCCGAATTAGCTCAGAGACCAGCAGGCTAGGAAAAGCATGGTCCAGACGAAACCCAAGGATTTCATGAGATGTCCTCAGACAGTCTTAGGATACGCTGGGGGCAGCTCAGGAAGTCTGGTTCTGGGTAGAATGCTGGCATTTGGGTCAAAAGATGGGTCTATGCAGAGCTGGGCTGGAAGGCTGAGCAAGAAAAGGAGGGTGTAAAGAAGGGAGGGCTGGATCGTGGGAGATGGTAGCCCATCCCCGGGTTCCAGGCAGGTGGCCGAGGCGGCTAGGAAGGTTCTAACAAAAGTCTGGGACACTCTGAGTCTGGAGGCAGCTGGGTTGGGGCAGGTCCACGGTCAGATTGGGGACAGAGATCAGAGCCTAGTGAGGGTGATTACAAGGAGAGCTGTCTCAGAGAGGCTCCGAGTAGTGGCCGTGCAGCCGTGAAGAAGCTGATGCTGAGGGAGGGATGAAGTCAGTGGTGTTAGCAGCTGGAAGGAGAGGGACAGTTGAGGTGGGGCGCTTGGGGTGGCAGCGTGGAAAGGGCAGAAAGGTATGGGGGAGCCACTAAGGCCAATGTGTTTGCTATTTTTTTAAAAAACTCATTTTTTTCAATTTTTATATTACTTTTTAAATCGTCATTATTATGTTTTGAGACGAGGTCTCACTCTGTAGCCCTGGCAGAACTGGAACTCACTGTGCACCAGGCTGGCCTTGAACTCACAGAGATCCACCTGCTTCTACCCAGCACTAGGTTTAAGGCGCGTGCCACCACACCAGCTAAGCTTTGCTTTTATAAATTGTCCTTTACACAGAAAGTAAGGACAGAGAAGACCTAACCTGTTCCTGTGTGTGTGTCCAGATCCAGAGGAGGAGACCATGACCACACAGGCGGTGCCCACCACAACCCCTAAGAAACCCATCCTGGGCCAGCTGACTGTGACAGACGCCACCCCTGACTCCCTGAGCCTCTCCTGGACAGTCCCCGAAGGACAGTTTGACCAATTTGTGATCCAGTACAAGAACGGGGATGGGCAGCCCAAGGTGGTGCGGGTGCCAGGGCACGAGGACCAGGTCACCATCCCCGGCCTGGAGCCAGACCACAAGTACAAGATGAACCTGTATGGCATCCACAGTGGCCAGCGTGTGGGCCCCGTGTCTGTTGTCGGGGTGACGGGTAAGTGGATTGTGGGAGACCAGGGTGGGACCCATCAGGAAGTGGAGCCTACTGTTCTTTGGTGACTAGTAACTGGGAAATCAATGGCCAAGAACTACTCAGTACCACAGGCTGGCTGTGAGCAAGACTGTGGCAGCCTGTCTGTTTTCCCCTGGGGCTGGCGGATCTCCCTCATAACAGGGCCACCAAGGTCTTTGCCGTGCTGGTGTCCAGGTCCCCTCAGCTGACCCAGGAGCTTGGGCGTGTTGGCCAGCTATCAGCTGACCAGGGATACCAGACTCCAAGAGGGGGCTATCTCTAAACTGGCATTGGGACCTCCCTGGTAGCCATAGCTCCTCTTTAAGAGCAAAGGACACCTGTGGGGGACCCTGCTCACCTGTCTGTCCCCTTCTCAGCTGCAGAGGAAGAGACCCCCAGCCCCACAGAGCCCAGCACAGAGGCCCCAGAGCCCCCTGAGGAGCCGCTCCTGGGAGACCTGACTGTCACAGCATCGTCCCCAGACTCCCTGAGCCTCTCCTGGACCGTCCCCCAGGGAGACTTTGACTCCTTCAGTGTCCAGTACAAGGACAGTGATGGGCGGCCCCAGGTGGTGCGTGTTGGGGGCCAGGAGAGGGAGGCCATCGTGAGAGACCTGGAGCCTGGGCGCAAATACAAGATGAACCTGTATGGACTCCATGATGGCCAGCGTGTGGGCCCCGTGTCCACCGTGGGCATGACGGGTGAGTGAATGTCAGATGGGTCTGTGCGGGATGACTCATTCTCATTCCTTCTTCTACCATCTTTGTGGTAACTCTTGTTCTCAAAGTAGCAAGGCTGTGTGAGCGTGTGAGCACCTCATTTTTCTGGAGGTTGATATATATATATATATATATATATATATATATATATATACACACACACACACACACACACACACACACACACAGGGCTTCACACAGGACGGTCAAGAGCTCGCAGTTACATATATATATATACATATATATATATGTATATATATATATATATATCATGTATATTAAAGGCTGTTCAGTCTACATAGGGCACTAACAACAAACAAGGTATTCCACACAAGTCTGGCACACTGAATCATGAGTTCGTTAGAGCTACTTATAAGAATATGAGTGAAGGTTTACTTGCAGAAACATGGGTGACTCAAATGCAGGTGTATTACATAAAAGCTGACCTCGACATGGACAATGGCTCAGGAAAGATCTATCCTTGGAGCCTTCTCTAGCTCTCCTGCAAGGAGCTGCTAATGTTTAGCTAATGTTGGGACAGACGTTGTGAACTTTGTAAGTTTCAGGAGCTTCCTGGGACTTGTGAGTTGCTTTCTGAGCCTTTTAAGCTCCCATTGCTTCCCAGGTGTTTTGTTTTTGAAACAGGGCCTCTGTATATAGCCATGCTATGCTGTCTTGTGACTCACTATGCAGACCAGGTTGACCTGGAACTCACAGAGATCTGCCTGCCTTTGCCTCTCCAGTGCTGGAATTAAAGGCACACAACACCACACCTGGCCACTTCCTGAGTTCTACTGAGCTTTTCTCCAATAGGGAATGCTTCAGGTCTTGAGAAACAGCAGCACAATGCTGTGTTCCTTCCTCTGGCTTTTAGATTTTTCCACTTTCTGCAGTGTTCCCTGAGCCTTGGGAGTAGAGGATAGAAATGCTTCATTATTTTCATTCTTCTTTTGCTGAGTATTGGACCATGATGACATAGCCACTGTCTAGTGACAGTAATTTCACCAATTATGAGACCCCATGATATATGGTATACCTCTAACTGCAAGGAATAAGTTTCCTTGCATGATTAATTGGTGTTGGTAGCAGCAACAATCCACGGATGCAGACACAGATGTTTAGAAGGGAATTTGATAGGTGTATCATATCCATTTAATAAAGCAGTAGTTGTTGCCTCCCCCATCGGAGCCTATGTCTTCTCCAGCCCTAGGCTTTTGCCCTGGTTTACAGCATAAGACGTGAGTTCCCTCCCGGGAAGCAGACTTTAAGTCTAATTATTGTGCCCATAATGCTTGTGCACATTGTTCCAGGGGTCTTATCTTGCCTGCATTGATGGTTCTCTAGTATTCGGGGTTCGTAGACAAGCAGGACTGTTGGTGAGGATTTCCCACATCAGCCTGCATGGTACCTGTCAGGAATACAAATGCCAGCCAAAAGAAGGGAGCTTCCAGTGGAGTCTCAGTCTGATTTCTCCATGTTCTGCAGCAAGTGTGCAGGGTGCAGCAAGTGTGCAGCATGCAGCAGGTGCGCAGCAGGTGTGCAGGGTGCAGCAGGTGTGCAGGGTGCAGCAGGTGTGCAGGGTGCAGCAAGTGTGCAGCATGCATCAGGTGCGCAGCAGGTGTGCAGGGTGCAGCAGGTGTGCAGGGTGCAGCAGGTGTGCAGCAAGTGTGCAGGGTGCAGCAGGTGTGCAGGGTGCAGCAGGTGTGCAGGGTGCAGCAGGTGTGCAGGGTGCAGCAGGTGTGCAGCGTGCAGCAAGTGTGCAGCATGCAGCAGGTGCGCAGCAGGTGTGCAGGGTGCAGCAGGTGTGCAGGGTGCAGCAGGTGCGCAGCAGGTGTGCAGGGTGCAGCAAGTGTGCAGCGTGCAGCAGGTGCGCAGCAGGTGTGCAGGGTGCAGCAGGTGTGCAGGGTGCAGCAAGTGTGCAGGGTGCAGCAGGTGTGCAGGGTGCAGCAAGTGTGCAGGGTGCAGCAGGTGTGCAGCGTGCAGCAGGTGTGCAGGGTGCAGCAAGTGTGCAGGGTGCAGCAGGTGTGCAGGGTGCAGCAGGTGTGCAGGGTGCAGCAAGTGTGCAGGGTGCAGCAGGTGTGCAGGGTGCAGCAGGTGTGCAGGGTGCAGCAGGTGTGCAGGGTGCAGCAAGTGTGCAGGGTGCAGCAGGTGTGCAGCGTGCAGCAGGTGTGCAGGGTGCAGCAAGTGTGCAGGGTGCAGCAAGTGTGCAGGGTGCAGCAAGTGTGCAGGGTGCAGCAGGTGTGCAGCAGGTGTGCAGGGTGCAGCAGGTGTGCAGCGTGCAGCAAGTGTGCAGGGTCTTCCGCAATAGGGATTCACCACTGAGTTTAGTGTTGCAACCAACAGCGTTTTCCATACCTTTATGGTTTGTGGGACCTCGGGGGCCTCCTTAGCCTGAAGAACTCATAGAATCATAGCCCACTCCTCACATCAGACTCCTACACAATTTATAGCTCTGGCAGTGCCCCCTCCCATTCATGGAGGGCACCTTCCTTTAGGCTCTTTAATTCATTCTTTCCTGTTCTTCAGATGATTTTACAGATACTTAAAATATTCAGAGATTAGCATGATGCCATCTCTGTCATCAAATGCTTTCCCAGAGGTGGACAGAATAACAATGCAGGGTCCCAGACCCATCCCATGACAAAATGTAGGGCTATGAATACAGCCCTGGGGTGTGCTCTGAAGATCTGTGGTTAGCCGTTCCAAATGAACATGAAACTGGCCTTGGGATCCAGAGCAAAGGTGCTACCAGTAAAGAAACATCGCCAACGCTCAGGACGGTACACAAAGATCCCGAGAGAGGGAATTGAACACGGGACATAGATGGAGTGCACATTGTCCTGTCTACCCTCCCACAACACAGACATGCTTTCCGGGAACCATCCTCCTCCTCACACCAGGATGCTGCTGTTTCTTTTTTTTTTTCAATATTTATTTATTATGTATACAATATTCTGTCTGCATGTATGCCTGAAAGCCAGAAGAGGGCACCAGACCCCATTACAGATGGTTGTGAGCCACCATGTGGTTGCTGGGAATTAAACTCAGGACCTTTGGAAGAGCAGGCGATGCTCTTAACCTCTGAGCCATCTCTCCAGCCCGATGCTGCTGTTTCTTTACGAACACTGTGTATCTCTTTGCCCTGGATGGTCCTGAAGGACCCGGCTAGGCCCATGCACTCTAACCTCCCACACCTGCCACTGGAGCTGGGTCTCCAGTTCCGACAGGCTCCCAGCCATCATGTGGCCTTTAATCTCTGTCCCTCGCATGGATCCATACTTTCTCACAGGGAGAAAAGTGCATGCATGCTCTGGAGGTGATAATTGTCCACCCCTAGGTCAAGTTCAACCTTTTGTTTATTCATGTATGTTACGTCTGAGTGTTCTGTCTTCATGCGCACCAGAAGGAACCTGATCCCATTACAGATGGCTGTGAGCCACCTTCTGGTGGCTGGGAATTGAGCGCAGGACCTCTGGAAGAGCAGCCAGTGCTCTTAACCACTAAGTCATCTCTCCAGCCCCAAGTTTAACCTTTGAAATCTGCATTGTCCTATGATTTCTGTCTTCTGGGAGCTGTTGCTTGGGCTGCAGAGCCAATCAGAAAGCTGCTACCACAGCATTTGGCATTCGCTCATTTCCTTGTGCTAACCGTCCGTACGCTAATCTTGTCATGTTTCCCTTTGAGTGACCGGGACAAATCCTTTAGTCTGCCTTTCCTTCCTCTCACCCCCTCTCAATTGCTTCTGCATTTTATAAAGAGTTTACATACCATTCAGAGTCATTCTGAACTCCCAGAGATTCTGAGCCATGAAGGTCACATCCCACCCCGGTCCCAGCAAGTCTCTGAAGCACTGTGTAGCTCTGGCTGGTCCCAAACTTGCTATATAGACCAGACTAGCCTCAGACTCACAGAGATCCACCTGCCTCTGCTTCTCCAGCACCAGGATTGAAGACAAAGGCACATGCCATCACATCAGGCTACAGATCTCTTTCTTAGCATTTAGCATGATTTTGTCTGACTTCATGAACTGGGCATCTGCGTAGCCTCTCTCATTCCCAGTTCCCTCCAGCCACACCTTCTCCCCTCTGTGGTCTTTAAGCCCTTATATTTATGGAACTAAGTGTCCCCAGTGGCTCATATGGGCCATTTCACCAGGGATTGATCTTCCCCATTTTGCCTTGGGTTATGCAGTCTTTGTCTCGAGGAGGAATGGGCTGTTATGACAGTTTCTCCATCTCCTCTCAGATTAATCCCATCTGCCTCTATTTCACAGCTGCAGAAGCAAGGCTGTGGGAGGCTCCTTCGTTATTTTCAGCTTAAAAGTCTTTCCTGGTCCACGCTGCTCAGATACTGTGTGTGCCCTGAACAGCGCAGATTCCCGTACTTGTTACTCATGCCTTATCTACAACTGAATCCTGGATTTGCTCCTCTTTTCTTCTCGTTCTGACATAAAGTCTGTCGTCTTCCATCCTTCCCTCCCCCATAGTTACCCAGTTACCAAGGGTTCCAATAGTTTGATCTTAGGACGGGCTTTTTAAAGTGTGTTTAACCTGCACTCTCTTTACCTTGCAACCTGCCAGCTCTAGGACACAGCGAGCAGATACCCCTTCTAGTCTTGTCTCTATTTTCCCTTCCCCAACCCAGAGGCCAATGAGCAGATCGCATCCCTATGACCTTTCCCTGCTGCAATTCCTCGCTCATGTGGGCAAGTTCTTTCTAAGAAGGCAGCTGAGTTTCCGTTTAAATTCTTTGCCCACAGCAAAGGCCACACAGCGGCCACCATAGCTTGCTTGTCATCTCGTCTATCCATGATACTCTTAAGGACTGGAATACACCCTCTAGTCCATTTGCTGTTTTGGAGACATTCTTATATTTGTGTAGTATAAACCATTCACCAACCATATCCAGTTTAGGAAAATGGACACGCCAAGATCCTCACTTGGACATTCTCAGGTGGCCTGGCTTGGGTTGCATGTGCAATCTCCTATAGCAGGGAGCATGAAGCCATTGCTGCAGCAAGAAGGCTCACCGTCCCATAGCACATGAAAGAAGTGGCCGTATCCAGGTCATCCTGCAGACCCTAGGCGCTGGCCTCAGCATCTGTTGCCGTGGTCACGTCCCCTCTCCTCCCTAGCTTGCCTTTGCTTCTGTTAGTTCATATCCCAGTGCCAATCATGTTGGCTGACTTTCTTGAGGAGACCTGAACATCTGTCTTTTCATGCCAGATGAGTCACTGAAATCAGACCCAAGCAACAACCCCAGCCACGTCTAGCTCAGCGATGTGTTCACCTGCGTCACTTGCGGGAATGTGGAGATCTTTGCAGGAGTGCGGATAGCTCAGAGGCAGCTGCACCACGCAAACCCAACTCCAGCACGGTTACAGCTCACGGTGTTCTCCTGAGCTCCTGCTCAGCGTGTGCCTGCTGAGAATCCCTCCTCTCCACATTTGTGCTTCTGTGGCCATGCTGAGGCCTTGTAAGCCTTCTAAGCTTCAGGAACTTCCTGAGAGAGAGTTGAGGACATGCCTTAGACGAGAGGAAACAGTCACCTACAAACCAGACCAGACCCAGCCGTGCATCGAGAACCTGTTATTCTGTCCCTCACAGGACCCCGAGAACCGTGCTGGTGGTAAAAACCCCACAGCCGAGGCACAGCCTCAGAACTTGTTGCTGAGCCTGTGACTGCCTCTGGCTCCTCAAAGAGACTCTGTCTGTGCAGGGTACATCCACCCGTGAGGGAACAGTGAGGAGGCTAGCATTCTCACCACGCACCTAAAAACCCACTTTATTCGTTTCATTTTTATTTATTTGTTTATTGTTGCAATTTTCAACTTTATTCCCACGCATCAACTCATTCCTTCCACAAAGAACCCTGTCCCCCGTCCTGGACAGCGGAGAGCTGAGTGTCAGCTGTCTCCAGCCAGAGACCTCCAACAACTCATCCCAAAAGATGGCATCTGGGAGGGGGCGGGTGAGGTGTCTAGCGTGTTCTGAGCAAAGTCCTGAAGCCAGTGAGGAAGGAAACGGCAAAGGGATCCAGCACAGGGAAGGCCAGGGCAGTGGCCTTGTGGGGCCTGCTCACACATGGTAGAGGGTAGAGGAAGGGGAGAAGTCGTGTTGGTGGATAGAGGGGGGGGGACACCTAGGCGGGGTGCCAGGAATGGCAGTGTAGAAGGCACGGAAAAGATACGTAGTGATCTCCGCGGCCAGTGTCACTTCCGCCAGAAGTCTTCAGGGCTTCATTTTTATAAAAGCCCCTTTGTGTGGATACTGAGGACAGGGAAGGCATAGCCCATCCCTCTGTGTGTGTGTCCAGATCCAGAGGAGGAGACCATGACCACACAGGCGGTGCCTACTGCAACCCCTAAGAAACCCATCCTGGGCGAGCTGACTGTGACAGGCGCCACTCCTGACTCCCTGAGCCTCTCCTGGACAGTCCCCGAAGGACAGTTTGACCAATTCGTGATCCAGTACAAGAACGGGGATGGGCAGCCCAAGGTGGTGCGGGTGCCAGGGCACGAGGACCAGATCACCATCACCGGCCTGGAGCCAGACCACAAATACAAGATGAACCTGTATGGCATCCACAGTGGCCAGCGTGTGGGCCCTGTGTCTGTTGTCGGGGTGACAGGTGAGTAGACATGGGAGCCTAGGATTCACTAGGAGAGAGACCATCTGCTCTGGGTGGGGGTCAGTGGCCTGGGACTGGCTAATACCCAGACCTTCTGTGGCCGAGGCTATGGCCTATGTGCCTCTCCCTAGAGCTGGCATATCTCCCCTGTGCAGGGGGTGGGGACATTAAGACCTTTGCCGTGCTGGTGTCCAGGTCCCCTCAGCTGACCCAGGAGCTTGGGCGTGTTGGCCAGCTGTCAGCTGACCAGGACCCCAAAGCCCCAAGGTGGGCTTCTCTGAACTGACCTCAGAACCACCTTGGTAACTATGGCTACTCTGTCCTCACTTGAGGACACCTGTGGGGGACCCTGCTCACCTGTCTGTTCCCTTCTCAGCTGCAGAGGAAGAGACTCCCAGCCCCACAGAGCCCAGCACAGAGGCCCCAGAGCCCCCTGAGGAGCCGCTCCTGGGAGACCTGACTGTCACAGCATCGTCCCCAGACTCCCTGAGCCTCTCCTGGACCGTCCCCCAGGGAGACTTTGACTCCTTCAGTGTCCAGTACAAGGACAGTGATGGGCGGCCCCAGGTGGTGCGTGTTGGGGGCCAGGAGAGGGAGGCCATCGTGAGAGACCTGGAGCCTGGGCGCAAATACAAGATGAACCTGTATGGACTCCATGATGGCCAGCGTGTGGGCCCCGTGTCCACCGTGGGCGTGACGGGTGAGTGTTAGCTGTGCCTCTGGGGGGAAACCAGCCCCACACCACTCCTTTTCCAGCCATCGTCATGGAAACACCTGTACTGTGCACCAAAGCTGCCGGGCACATCCGACATCTCCCCAATCAGCCTCAGACCCAGCAGTGTGTCCAAAGCCTGCTTCTTTTTTGTTGGTTGTTTTTTCGAGATGAGGTCTCTCTGTGTAACAATCGTAGCCATCCTGGCACTAGCTCTTGTAGACCAGGCTGGCCTTGAACTCACAGAGATCCACCTGCTTCCACCTCCCAAGTGTTGGGGTTAAAGGTGTGCACCAGCACGGCCCGGCCAGAACCTGTTTCTAAGGAGATCCTGGGAAACACGCTGCTGGTTCATGGATCGGTCCCGGAGCAGCAAAGCCCGTAGCAGAGGTGTCAGCCCTCTCTGGGACGAGCTAGCGGGGGTTCCTCACAGAGCGGCTCTATCCCTGTGACGTTCTCTGGCCCGGGCAGTGGATGAGTCTGCAATGTACAAACCACTTCAAGCCCTTTTTCCTTTTTGTCCTCTCCTTCCTTCCTTCCTTCCTTCCTTCCTTCCTTCTTCCTTCTTTCCTCCTTTCCTTCCATTGTAAACTCTCATTCACATGCCTCCATTCCCTGATCTGGGGACTTGTGGGGCTGTCAGCTGGGGAGCCAACATCCCCAAGGCTCACCTGGAATGAACTATGGGTCAACACTTGGGGGTGCTGGGCTGTGGGGGACTCTGGGGTTAGAGAGCAGCTGCTAAGTTGTTGGGGGTACAGAAGCCTTAGCAAGGGGAGTTCAGCTCTGAACGATGCTGCCCGTAGAGCCTCCCTCACTCGTGAGTTTGCTGAGCTCTGTCTGGGGAAGGTGTTTTGCGGGCCCACAAAGCCAGAGGAAGAGGCAGAAATCCCTCACTACCTGGACGAGGGCTGTTTGGTTGTTTTGTAGCAAATGGTCGAGCGTGTCTTTGTGAGCATAGGATTCCAAGCTTGCCATCATGGTACCAGGTGGCCTTGTCTGATGTCTGTGTTCTGTGCCGTTGTCTATGTTTGGTGTGATTACATAAGACAGAGCTGTGCTAGAATGGCCCTGAGCTGACAGAGCCTGACAGACCACGGGAGTCTGGGCTGCTGGTCTCCGTCAGGCTGGGGCTTTGAAAAACTAGCAGTGTTAGCATGGACTTCACAGTCAGGGTGACAGGCAGAAGGCCTAAGTTCTGCCAAGGGCCCAGAACATGGGACCCCTAGGGGCGAGAACAGTACCTGAGGGGACATCTAAACCAGCTTTCTCATAAGGCAACTGAGACCTGAGGTCGAACAAGCGTTGGCTTGGTGACAGGGCAGAGAGAACAGTTATAGGTCAATGTCCCCGCTGTGCAAAGAACAGAAGGTTAGAAAGAAGCTGGTCCGTGAGGAACAGAGATTTTGTGAGATGTCCTCTGGGATGCAGGGTGGTCTTGAGAGGTTGATGGAGAGGCAGGGGCCGCTCAGAAGCTCGGGATTCCACACAGGACTGGGTGTCCAGTTCCTTGCTGCCGTTGGAAGTCCTTGTTCAAAGTCTGGCTTCCTCATGAAGCACAACCGCTTAGCGGAAGAGGTAAAGTGAGCCTGAAGGCAGGGAGGTCAGACCGGGGTCAACACCCAAGTGAGAGGAGATGGTGGCCCAGGTTCTGTGATAGAAGAGGTGGGTGGGGGAGTGTGAGGCACCCAAGAGGGACACAGCCAGAGTCTGGAGTGCACTGAGCTCACTAGCAGCTGGGACACAGCCTCAGGGAGGAGGTTTCCAGACCTAGCAGGGGTAAAGATCTAAGTCCAGCGAGGGAGGAAGCGGACAGCAAGGAGAGCCAGGGCAGGGAGGCTCAGGGCAGTGGCTCTGTGGAGCATGTTCAAAAGAGGCAAGTGCGGGAGGGAGGGGAGCAGTCACATGGGTGTTGGCAGGTGTCTGGGCGGGATGCTAGGAATGGCCGTGTAGAAAGAACAGAAAAGGCAAGCCGTGGTCGAACTGTGGATGGGAACTTTGTTTTTAATAAATGTTTCTTTATATTCTAACTGAGCACAGAGAAGACCTGAATTTGTGTGTTTGTGTGTTCAGCTCCAGAAGAGGAAGTTACGACCACACAGCTGGTGCCCACCACCACTCCTGAGCCTCCTCCTAAGAAGCCACGTCTAGGAGAACTGTCCGTGACAGATGCCACTCCTAACTCCCTGAGCCTCTCCTGGACAGTCCCCGAAGGACAGTTTGACCACTTCCTGATCCAGTACAGGAACGGGGATGGGCAGCCCAAGGTGGTGCGGGTGCCAGGGCACGAGGACCAGGTCACCATCACCGGCCTGGAGCCAGACCACAAATACAAGATGAACCTGTATGGCATCCACAGTGGCCAGCGTGTGGGCCCCATGTCTGCTGTCGGGGTGACAGGTGAGTGGACATGGGAGACCAGGGTGGGACCCACTGGGAGGTAGACACTCAAACTATTTGGTGACAGCTGGGTAGGGATTGGTGGCTGGGTGCTGTTAGCACCCCAGATCTGCTCAGTCCCACAGACCTGCGTTGCTAACACTAAGGTCTGCCTTTGTGTGCCTTCTTCTGGGCTGGCCAGTCTCCCTGGGCAGCAGGGCCACAGACAGCTTTGCCGTGCTGGTGTCCAGGTCCCCTCAGCTGACCCAGGAGCTTGGGCGTGTTGGCCAGCTGTCAGCTGACCAGGACCCCTAAGCCCCAAGGTGGGCTTCTCTGAACTGACCTCAGAACCACCTTGGTAACTATGGCTACTCTGTCCTCACTTGAGGACACCTGTGGGGGACCCTGCTCACCTGTCTGTTCCCTTCTCAGCTGCAGAGGAAGAGACTCCCAGCCCCACAGAGCCCAGCACAGAGGCCCCAGAGCCCCCTGAGGAGCCGCTCCTGGGAGACCTGACTGTCACAGCATCGTCCCCAGACTCCCTGAGCCTCTCCTGGACCGTCCCCCAGGGAGACTTTGACTCCTTCAGTGTCCAGTACAAGGACAGTGATGGGCGGCCCCAGGTGGTGCGTGTTGGGGGCCAGGAGAGGGAGGCCATCGTGAGAGACCTGGAGCCTGGGCGCAAATACAAGATGAACCTGTATGGACTCCATGATGGTCAGCGTGTGGGCCCCGTGTCCACCGTGGGCGTGACGGGTGAGTGTGGCTGGGGTCTGTGTTTGCTCTTGCCTTCCGCGGCTCCTCTCTTCTCCGCCCTGCCCTCTACTCCCCCTTTCTTCCCAGCTGTCTCTGGGGCTTCACTGAGCTTCTGACCCCCTCGCCTAGAATGAAGGGATGGTCAGCGCAGCCGTCCTTGGAGCTGTCCTTGTGGTCCCTCCTTCCCCCACTCCAGAGCCCCACACAGTCCTCCCACCTTGGCTCCCTCTCTGGGTATTTGGTGTTTCACAACAGGCTCTGATCTGGGCTACTTGGGTCTGAATCACCTCCAGCTGGACTGTGGGGTTTTACAAGCATTTTTTAACACAGTGGCAGCTCCGGCAGCGGGGGAACAATCACAATGGCGTCTGCTAAATCAGAGGTTCTCAACCTTCCTAGTGTTGTGACCTTTTATTTATTTTTTTAAATGTTTATTTATGGCCGGGCCGTGGTGGCACACACCTTTAATTCCAGCACTCAGGAGGCAGAGGCAGGTGGATCTCTGTGAGTTTGAGACCAGTCTGGTCTACAGAGCGAGTTCCAGGACAGGCTCCAAAACTACAGAGAAACCCTGTCTCAAAAAAAACCAAAAAAAAGTACTTTGTTTACATATATGCCTGCACACCAGAAGAGGCCACCTATCCCACTACAGATGGTTGTGAGCCACCATGTGGATGTTGGGAATTGAACTCAGGACCTCTGGAAGAGTAGCCAGTGCTCTTAACCTCTGAGCCATCTCTCCAGTCTATACTACAACCTTTCAATACAGTTCCTCAGGTTGTGGTGACCCCCAATCATGAAATTATTTTCATTACTACTTCACAACTGTAATTTTGCTACTTATTTTGTTTTATTTTTTGGCCTTTCAAGACAGGGTTTCACTGTATAACCCTGGCTGTCCTGAAACTCTCTCTATAGACCAGGCTGGCCTCAAACTCACAGAGATTTTCATTCCTCTGCCTCCTCCCAATTAAAGGTGTGCCATCACCACCCAGCTAATTTTGCTACTGTTATGAGTCATAACGTAAATATTTTTAGAGATAAATGGTTGCTAAAGGGGTCGCGACCTACAGGTTGAGAAGCGCTGTGCCAGCCATCGGCGGTTCAGGGGCTCCTAGGTGTGGAACTGTCTGCAGCTGCCATTCCTATGGCTGGGGTCAGGGGGTAGAAGCTGTTCTTCAGCCTGGTGGCAGTCTGGTCCCCTCAGCAGGTTCTGCCTGTACCCCTTAGCCTCCTCTGCTCTGTTGCAGCGCCCCTGCCCACAGAGCCCTCCCTAGAGCCCCGCCTGGGGGACCTGGCTGTGGCAGATGTGACTTCCAGTACTGTGCGCCTGTCTTGGACCGTGGCCCAGGGCCCCTTCGACTCCTTTCTCGTCCAGTACATGGATGCCCAGGGGCAGCCCCAGACGGTACCCGTGAGCAGAGACCTGAGTGAGGTCACCATCTCAGGTTTGGACCCAGCCCGCAAGTACAAGTTTCTCCTCTTTGGACTCCAGGGTGGAAAGCGCCATGGCCCTGTTTCCGTAGATGCAAAAACTGGTGAGTGAGGGCCCAACACTGCGGACCCTGCAACCCCCAGCACCCTTTGCTCCCTTGTGGCAACTGTTGGAATTTCATGTTTCTGTGGCCCACATTCCAGACCTTGGAGTTTGGTGACCCATTTCTTTGTGAGGTCCACCCAATTCAGACCTTCACTCCGTCCTTCTCCCTCATCACTGGGCGGGCACACTTGCTTCCTTTCCTGGAGGCTCTTTTATCCCGAGCGAGGCCCGATCGCCCCCTCTGACCACCAAGAACAGGGCCCCAGCTGCCCCCACCCCAGTCCCTGTCCCCTGCGGTAAGTACACTACACAGTCTAAGTGGCTTCCTCTCCTCTCCATTCGCAGACACAAAGCTCCTTCCTCGTCTTGGGGAGCTGACGATGACAGACGTGACCCAGAACTCCGTGGGTCTCTCCTGGACTGTCCCCGAGGGCCAGTTCGACTCCTTCCTAGTCCAGTACAAGGACAGGGGAGGGCAGCTCCAGGTGGTGCCGGTGGCAGCAGACCAGCGTGAGGTCACCATCCCTGGCCTGGAGCCCAATAGGAAATACAAGTTTCTGCTCTACGGCCTAGCAGGCCGCAAACGGCTGGGCCCTGCCTCTGTGGAGGGCACCACAGGTGAGTCCCAGCCCTGCCTCTGTGGAGGGGAGGGCACCACAGGTGAGTCCCAGCCCTGCCTCTGTGGAGGGGAGGGCACCACAGGTGAGTCCCAGCCCTGCCTCTGTGGAGGGGAGGGCACCACAGGTGAGTCCCAGCCCTGCCTCTGTGGAGGGGAGGGCACCACAGGTGAGCCCGGGCCCTGCCTCCCACTCTGGCACAGCTCCCATCCCCAGGGCCTTCCAGAGACTTGTCCTGTCCTCAGTCTAAGAGGAAAAGCCGTTACAGAAAGGCCAGTCCTGCCTTGGACTGGGCACAGTCTGAGCATTTTATACTCACCGTCTCCTTCCTAAGGAGCTTTTAGGCTTGGTTAACCGGGGTTCAAACCCAAATCCAGTCCTGGGCAGCCACGTGACATGGTTGAGCCACCTCATGTGCACCACGGCCTCCCCACTGTGCCGGCAACCAGTGGCCCACTCCCCACTGTGCCGGCGACCAGTAGCTGGCACCCATGTCCTCTTCCTCCCAACCCTGAGACATGAGATGGGAAGGCCTGGCTACAGAAGACGATGGAAAAATCTGGTGTTTTTGTGCCCATGAGTCAGCCCCCAAGGAAGGGGTGGAGTGGGTCCATGACCCTTACCCCACTCCCAGGTCCATGAGTCAGTCACCCCAGACAGACATCAGAGGCTGGAGCCCTCAGATACCATAGTTCTTCCCCAAACCTTCATTATGCAGGCTTGTCAGCTGCCACCCTCACGTGGGCAGGTCGCCTCTCTGCTCCACCTGGTCCCGGGATATTAATTCTGGACTGTGTAGGAGATGGGGGGCAGCCCCAGGCTGAGGGGAGCTCTCCCCCACTTGAGAGTATCTCTTTGGCACGCAGATGTCCCCAGAGGCCTCAGTTCTGGCCACAGCCCTGTCCAGAGGAAATGAAGACCAGTCTGTGCCCGCCGCTAGCCCTCCCTCACTGTGACCCTCTGTGACCTGACAGCAGCAAGCGGGCGCCAGGCAGGAAAGGGCTAGGCTGTGCCTCCAGAGACAAGGCGGCTCTCCCTCAGTCCGCCGCAGCAGGACCACGCAGGCCTGGCGTCCTCAGGTTTCTGTCCCTGAGGCCACACATCCCAAGTCTCCAAGGCTGGAGACACTAACCTGAATCATCCCATTCTCCCCTCAGCCCCCCTGGAGAAGCCGCCGCAGCCCCGCCTCGGCGAACTGACAGTGACAGGAGAGACCGCTGACTCTCTGCACCTCTCGTGGACGGTGGCCCAGGGCCCTTTTGACTCTTTCCTGGTCCAGTACAGAGACAGGGATGGGCAGCCCCAGACAGTGGTCGTGGCTGCAGACCAGAACGAGGTCGCCATAGAGGGTCTGCAGCCACGCCGGAAGTACAAGTTTCTGCTCTATGGGCTGGCTGGAGGAAAGCGCCTGGGGCCCGTCTCTGCCCTCGGAGTGACAGGTGAGCTGCCCTGCCTGACCACAGGCCTGAGGAGTCTGCGGACAAAGAGATTGGCCAGAGAGGATGGTGGGAAGGGCAGGGGCCTGTCCAGAGCCAGAGAAGGGAGGACCTGTGCCCATCCCTGGGGCTGATCCTTTGAGAGAACAGGAGCTGGGTTAGGCAGCAAGGAAAGGCCTCGCGGGCTCCCTGCCCTCCCTACCCCAGTCATCCCTGCCACCTGCTGCTCCCCACTACCCCGTTAGAATGGCTCCATCCCCTTGCTGCCTAGGCGTGCAGCAGACACACAGACACACACACACACACACACACACACACACACACACACACACCCCGCCCTGTTCTCGGGAGCCAGGGATGTGTCTCAAATGGAAAATCACCGGAAAATCCAATGGGCAGAGGCCACTGACACCCACGTCAGATCGGCCAGGCCAAGGGCACGAGTGTGACTTGCCAGGCACATACACCAGCCACCCCAGCCTGTGGTGCCCGCACTAAGAGCGGGGCCAGGGAAGAGCCTGAGGGGCCACTGCTGAGGGGGTTGATGCACCAGGTGCTGGGAAACAGGTAGGGAGTCTGGTCCCCAAACAGCAAGCAGCTGAGGAGGGACCAACAGGCACAGTAGCTTCCCAGGCCGGAGATCCCGGGGCTGGGCTCAGAGAGGCCTCCTGGGTGTCAGGAGGTAACACCAAGGCAGGGGTAAAACAAATTCAAGAACTGGAAGGTTCTAGAAGATGCCTGCTCCCTCCCTCTCCTCAATTGGGCTACCTGCCTGGACTGTGAAGTGTCTTCATCCCAGGCCAGCCTCAAACCCTTCCTTTGAAGGGGACAGAATGAGCAGGGCAGGCGCCCAGCACCCTGTAAAGATCCCACCCTGCTTTCTCCCGTGCAGCCCCAGAAGAGGACATGTCAACCCCAAGCCCCACTGAAGCCCCTGAAGCCCCCCGCCTGGGGATGCTGAGAGTGACAGAGGCAACCCCAGATTCCCTGCGCCTCTCCTGGGGTGTGGCCCGTGGCCCCTTTGACTCCTTTGTGGTCCAGTACCAGGACACAGAGGGACAGCCCCAAGCCCTGCTTGTTGATGGACACCAGGACAAGGTCCTCATCTCAGGCCTGGAGCCCAGCACCTCCTACAAGTTCTTCCTTTATGGCCTCCGTGAAGAGATGCGCCATGGGCCTGTCTCTGCAGAGGGTACCACAGGTGGGCCGGCCTGCACCTTCTTAGTCTGGGGTTAGGAAGGGTGGAAGTGGACATCCAGAAGCGGCTGCCACAGGGAAGGCTTGAGGAAGGTGCCCAGGAAGGGTCGAGGTCTACCCTACACTGCCCCTTCTCTTCCCAGTCGGTCTTCCCAGAGGTTCTGTTCCTCATGGGTTCTTCTGACCAATAGGGAAGGGTGACAGACGTGACGTGCTCCAAGCCTTGGGGCTGGCATATATCTGTGTCTTCAGACCTTTTTCTCCTACCCACTTCCCACAGGTCCAGTTCCTGCTGGTCAGACCCCAGGGGACCCGGGGCCCCGCCTGTCCCAGCTGTCAGTGACAGACATGACCACTAGTTCTCTGCGGCTGAACTGGGAGGCCCCGCTTGGTTCCTTTGACACCTTCCTAATACGCTTTGGGGTCCCCTCACCAAGCACTCTGGAGCCGCATCTCCGTCCTCTGCTGCAGCGAGAGCTGATGGTGCCGGGTACACAGCGCTCAGCTGTGCTTCGGGACCTACATCCTGGGACCCTGTACAGCCTCACTCTGTATGGGCTGCGTGGGCCGCACAAGGCGGACAGCATTCAGGGCACTGCCCGCACCCTCAGCCCAGGTGAGGACCCACACTGGGCACCGAAGAGGGGGCATTGGACTTTGCAGAGTAGTACCCAGCAGGTAACGGGGGTCTGGAGAGTGGGCAGAGGACTTGAAGGCATTAGAGACTTCTGTCCTGGGAACCTTCCAGAGAGGCATGGTGGACCTCTCTGAAGCCAGAGCACTCAGGGAGAAGGGGGAGGAACTTTCTTACCCATGCCCTCCTCACTGAACCCCTCCCTTGTTGTCTTCAGTTCTGGAGAGTCCCCGTGACCTACAATTCAGTGAAATTGGGGAAACATCAGCCAGAGTCAACTGGGTGCCGCCACCATCCAGGGTGGACAGCTTCAAAATTTCCTACCAGCTCGCAGATGGAGGTGATGGTCCCGTCCTGCCAAGACCTCCTTAGCTCTCCTCTCCTGCCCGCCCCCACCCCCGCATACCGCCCATTCTCCAGCTGGTCTCAGGCTCCACCCATGTTCATAGGAGAGCCGCAAAGTGTAGTAGTGGACGGCCGGACCCAGACCCAGGTCCTCCAGGGCTTGAGCTCAGACACTCGCTACGAGGTGACTGTGGTCTCCGTCCGTGGCTTCGAGGAGAGTGAGCCTCTCACAGGCTTCCTCACGACAGGTAAGAGGGGCACCATGACAGGCGAGAGAGAGAGAGAGAGAGAGAGAGAGAGAGAGAGAGAGAGAGAGAGCGCAAGGGCTGGCCAGGGTGAAGAGGGGACAGAGGGATCCCAGGGAGGCAGTGAAGTTGGGAGAGTCAACAGTGGGGACAGTGGCAGGGAAGCCTCTGAGCCCCTGTTTCTGCCAGTTCCCGATGGCCCCACCCAGCTGCGTGCACTGAACTTGACTAATGGATCCGCCCTTCTGCACTGGAAGCCCCCCCACAAACCCGTGGACGAGTACAACGTCCAGGTCGCATCCCCCGGGGGTGAGCATGGCTGAACCTCCTCTGAAGAGGTGGGGAGAGCAGGGTACAGCATGATGGGCAGGGGCTGATGCCCACCCCACTCCCAGCCCCACCCCTGCAGGCCTCAGCACCCGGCAGCGCCGTGGACTACCCGCTGACAGACCTGGCGGTTGACACCAACTACACGGCCACCGTGCGTGGTCTCCGAGGCCCAAACTTCACCTCGCCAGCCAGCATTACCTTCACCACAGGTAGAGCCAGGGGTGCATGGGGAAGGGGTCACGGGAGGGTCAAGGCAGCAGATACGGGCTCACCCATCTGTTCCTACGTCCCCAGGGCTGAAGCCCCCCCAGGACTTGGAGGCCAAGGAAGTGACCCCTCGCACGGCCCTGCTCACTTGGACTGAGCCCGAAGTCCCACCCACAGGCTACCTGCTCAGCTTTGACACCCCTGGAGGACAGATTCAGGTACCCCAGCCCTGCCTCATTGGCCGTCTGCTTTCCATAGCTAGATTTGGTGGTGCCCTTCTGGCCATCTCACCCTCTGCTGACTGTCCCTTGTCGGTCTCCAGGAAATCCTGCTTCCAGCAGGAACCACCTCCCACCGGCTTCTCCGCCTCTTCCCTTCCACCTTCTACAGAGCCCAGCTGCGGGCTGTTTGGGGCGAGAGCCTCACGCCCCCTGTGTCCACTTCCTTTACTACAGGTACTGACACTGGGCCTGAGCATAGGCGGGCGGCTGGGGTCTGAGACTTGGGGACAGACAGACTCCCCATCTCCTCTCCACAGGTGGGCTGCGGGTCCCCTTCCCCCGGGACTGTGGGGAGGAGATGCAGAACGGGCCCAGCACCTCAAAGACCACCACCATCTTCCTCAACGGCAACCGCGAGCGGCCTTTGGATGTGTTCTGTGACATGGAGACGGATGGGGGCGGCTGGCTGGTGGGTTGCGTTCAGAGCCCAGGGACCTGGGTAGCACAGGGGCCGATGCCCAGGAGCCAAGGCCAATGCTGCCCTTGTCTGCTCTCCAGGTGTTCCAGCGCCGCATGGACGGACAGACGGACTTCTGGAGAGACTGGGAGGAGTATGCCCATGGTTTTGGAAACATCTCCCGGGAATTCTGGCTGGGTCCGTGCCTCATAGGGCTGGGGAACCCGGGAAGGGATGGCAGTCCTGTGGACCCCAGGACCCTGATGGAGCATACTCCACCCCAGGCAATGAGGTCCTACACAGCCTGACGCAGGCTGGAGACTACTCCATGCGTGTGGACCTGCGAGCTGGAAAGGAAGCTGTGTTCGCCCAGTATGACTTCTTCCGTGTGGATTCGGCAACGGAGAATTACCGCCTGCACCTAGAGGGTTACCATGGCACCGCAGGTGAGGGTGGGCCCGGGACGGGGTGATGGCGGGCCCCGGGACTGGGTGATGGCCGGCACGGGGGGCGGTCCTCACCACATCTTCCCATGCTTTGCCAGGGGACTCTATGAGCTACCACAGCGGCAGCGTCTTTTCTGCCCGTGATCGGGACCCCAACAACTTGCTCATCTCCTGCGCTGTCTCTTATCGGGGGGCGTGGTGGTACAAGAACTGTCACTATGCCAACCTCAACGGGCTCTACGGGAGCACAGTGGACCACCAGGTGGGGGCCGTGGAAGCACAGGCTGGGCTCTGGGTCACTCGGGTTGGAGGACTCTCATGTGAATGACTGAACTTCTCGCACCTCAGAGGCTCATTTGGGAAATGGGACAGTAATACCAGTCTCACCTAGGAAGCTTGAAAAGTCTGTTTATTAGTGGATACAAGGCGCCAGCTCAGAATGAAGCCTCAGCCCTTTGCAGCTGAGGGCTAGGCAGGGAACCGTGAGGGAGAGGGATGGACCCCCGGGGGTCACCTGCAGGAGCTGGGCGGGGATGAAGGAGTTGCCATTGGTGAGTGCTGGCTTTAACTCTCCTCCCTCGACAACTTTCTCCTCAGGGAGTGAGCTGGTACCACTGGAAGGGCTTCGAGTTTTCGGTGCCCTTCACGGAAATGAAGCTGAGACCTAGAAACTTCCAGGCCCCTGCCAGGGGCAGCTGAGCCTGTTTTCCCACCTCGCTCATACCCCAGTATGACTGCCGAGCACTGAGGGGCCGTGCCAGAGAAGAGCCAGTATGCCTCTACTGCCTAGCTCACCAAAGAGGCCTTCTCTACCACGATCTCACAGCACCATGTTTACAGGGGGGAGGGGAGGGGTTAGTAACGGAGCAATAAAGGAGAAACTGAGGCACGAGGCTGGTACTGGTCCTATCCTGTCAAGGGTTCTGGCCCTGGTCTTGGGGCATCAGGTTCCTGGGCTGCAGCCGCACCTGGAAAGGACGAATCAAGAGATTGACACCAGTGAAATTCTGGGGCTTCAGGGAGGGCAGGGTGCCATCTGGTGGTGGCAGCAGCGTGAAGGCCTGGAGCAGGCGCGCCAGGACCACGAAGAGCTCCAGTCGCGCCAGCGGCTCTCCCAGGCACACACGGGCCCCACAGCCGAAAGATAGGGTTCTGAGGTCCTTGCCGGGTTCCAGGAAGCGATCTGTGGGTCGTGGACAGATAGCTCGGGAAGTGTGTCCCAACCGAGGCTAGGGCCCTTCCGCTCCCGTGCCTGACCCCTCCGTTGTACCAGGACAGAACTGGCCGGGCAGTTCCCAGACCATCTCGTCCAGGTTGGCGCCTTGGATGTTGGGGATGATGATGGTGTCCTTGGGGATGTCATAGCCAGAGATACTGAGGGAAGGCAGAGTCAGAAGCTGTCCGGGACCCTGGGGGGGGGGGGGGCGGGGGGGTGGTTCTCACTCAACCCTTAACCCAGGGAGTCACCTGCTAGCCCGAGTGGTACGATGGGGCAGGGCCAGGGGCACCACGGGCCGCAGGCGCAGCACCTCAGCGATGGTAGCCATGAGCAAAGGCAGCTGCATTCGGTTCTTGTACAGGAGCTGGGAGCTGGGGGCACTGGGGCCCAACTTGAGGTCTAGTTCTTCCTGCAGTCGTTTCTGTATCTGAGAAGAAGGGACAAGGCTGGATCTGGGGACCAAGCTTTGCGCTGGGTGACTCAGGGCTGCCCAGCCGGCAGCCCCTTTATCCAGCCACCCAGCTAAGCCTAGAGACCCGCCCCCGCACCCGTGAGCAGAGTCCAGGCCAGGCAGAGGACTGGGCCAAGGGGCCGGAAGGAGCCTCACTCTCTCCCATAATGCACCTCAGGGTGATGAAGCAGGAAAGCCACAGTCCAGGAGAGCGTGGTGGCTGTGGTCTCAGTGCCCCCGACGAAGAGATCCACCACGGACATGTGCACGTGCCCTTCGTGGAGCTGCCCTGCATCCGTGCCCTCTCTTTGCTGCTCCACGCCTTGAAGCATGTAGTCAAGCATGTCCTTCCACTGGCCTGCTACCAGGCTGTCCTGCAGAGGGCAGGGAAAGGAGCAGGCTGGGTGCCCAGCAGTGATGCAGGCTCTGCAGGCACATCACTGGCTGAGGCTAGGGGGGTTAGTGCTCGCGCGGTATCCCGCGGCACCTACCTTGTGCAGCTTCAGCTGCTCCCTTACGATATTGTCCCTGTTCTCCTGGAACCGCTTCAGCTTCCAGAGGCCCGGATTGGGGAGGAACTGGGACAGGTAGGGGAGTCAGCTTCTGGATGGAGACCAGCCACCCCCTAATCCCGCCCCAACCCAGGGGAGTCTGGGATGTGCTCCCGCACCCTGAGAAAGGGAATTATTTCCAAGATTTGGACGGACCAGTGGTTCCAGGCTTGCAGCAAGTCCTGCACACAGCTGTGAACCGTGTGTACCAAAATGTCGTCCTGCCGGAAGAGGAGAGCATACTTTGAGTTTGGGACCAGCAAAGGTCAGGAGGGCCTGAGGGAGGGGCTCGAGGGGCAAGAGGAGAGCCTTGACCTTGTCTCCAAACGTGAGATAGCAGATGACACTGCACGTGAGCAAAGAGAATTCCTTCTGGATGGCCACAGGGGCGCCAGCCTGCGCGCGCATGCGCTGTGGAGAAGAGGCAGGCTACCCGGGCTGTGGGGACCGAGTGGTACTGGGGGACAGGGACGCTGACCCCGGGAGGGCTAGGCCACAGGAGCACGGCCTCACCTCGCAGAATTCTTGGGCCAGCTCCTCTACCAGGGGCTCCATGGAGTCTCGCACGCCCAGCATCAGAGCTGAGCGAGAGAGTTTCTTGTGGGCCTTCCACGTTAGCGAGTAGTCCCCTAGCGACAGGTCCAAGTCTAGATTTTCTGCAGGAGGGATGGCAGAAAGAGAGAATGCCAACTAACCAAGGAAGCCAAAGGCCTGACCTGCCTCCCCCCCTCCCCCATCCAAGAAGTAGGCCAGGGCAGCAAGCCACAGCAGGTGTATCTCTGAGAGTTTGAGGCTAGCCTAGTCTACAAAGAGATTTTCAGGGCAGAGATTTTTCAGGGCAGCCAGGGCTACACAGTGAAGAAGAGGAAGAAAAAACCGTGCCCCCAACTCTTACCATATGGTATCTGGGGTCGGCCGGCAAAGTCCGCCCATTTTTGGATCAGGGCCTCCTTAATGGTCCTATTAGAATTCAGAACGACCACATCTGGGGGAAAGAGCAGTTGTCAGCTGGGAGGGATAGGTCACCAGAAGAGAGCAGATTGGCTCACCTTGCAGTCCCATGCGAATCCTATAGACAGGCCCGAGTTTCTGGGTGAGGTCAAACAGGTAGGTGGGAAGGTTAGGCTGTAGAAAGTGCAGGAACCCCGGGGCAAGAGGAGGCAGGCGGAGGCTCCGGAGCTTCCACCGGCCCCACAGCCAGCGAGTGCCAGCTAGCAGCAGCAGCAGCAGCAGCAGCAGCAGCAGCCCAGGTAACACCATGGCGGGACACTTGTGCAGGGGCCCTGACAAGGCTTTTTATAGTTCTTGGCCCCAGCCGTTCGTTATTAGCCTCCAGTCCCCTACCGTGGTCCCATGCGCAGAACAGTGTGTTTTCAAGTTAGCACCATCCCGCTGGCCTTGGAGCTCATGGATCAAAGAGACCATCCATCAAGAAGAAAGGAAGAGATGCAGGACCCTGACCTTTCTGTGTGTCAGCCCTGTGGGCCGCGGCGTCCACCCTGAGCCCCGTCCAGCCCACCCTGCCTCACCTTGGGTCGGCTTAGTGGTGTGAATTTATCTTATCCCGGAGAAAAGAAAGAAGTGGGAGTCTCTGCCCAATGTGCCTTTGGGTCTGCCGCTTGTCCGTCCCTACAAGTATTTTATTGGTTATTATTGCTACTGCTTTATTTGTGATACTAGTGACTGAACCCAGGACCTATGCCCCCATTATTGTTAACTTTGAGACAGGATCTCATCAGGTTGCCCAGGGAACCTTGAATTCACTATGTAGCTCGGCCTCAAACTTTGAACCCTCCCTCAGTCCCTTAAACATCTGGGGCAACAGAAGTGCCACCCCACCTGGTCCCCTATGCAATTCTTTGCTGTTGTTCCTGGCTTGGTTGAGGCTGTTTGTGGGGACAGAGGGGGGTGCGTGTGTGGAGGCCAAAGGTCAACCTCAGGTGGTCTGTCCAGATGGAAAGACCCTGAGTTTTCATTTTCCTGGGGCTTCCAAATCCACTAGGCTGGCTGGCCGCTGAACCCCAGGGATACTCCTGTCTCTGCCTCCCATCTCTAGAATGAGAACTTGTGCCACGGGGCTGGAGAGGTGGTTCAGCGTTTAAGAGTACTTGTTGCCCTTATGGAAGACCTGAGTTGGATTCCCAGCGCCTACATGGCTGTTCACAACACCAGCTTAGAGTTCCAGTGCCCTCTTCTGACGCCAGAGGGAATTGCATGCACATACATACGCACAGGTTTTTTTGTTTGCTTATTTGTTTAGTTGTTCATTTATTTATTATATTTTATGTTAATTTGTATGTGTAAAACTAAACAAACCAAAAGAGAAACTTATGAACCACCACACCATACCTTTTTTTTTTTTTTGAGATAGGTTTCACTATGTAGCCCTGGAAAGTCTTGAAGTCAGTATGTAGCCGATGTCCAAATGCTGGGATTGCAGGCGTATACCACAATGCCTGCCTGGTGATGTTACTCTATGGCCTCTTTTGTTGCCAGAAATATCTAGAGTGAGGCATGGCGGTGCCTGAATTTAGGGGGCAGAGACAAGCAGATTGAGCCTGAGGTCAACCTGGGCTACACAACAAGACCCCATCTCAAGGAACAAGGCTCTGTTGGTGTTTGCCTCACACAGAGAGGCTCTGGGCTCTTTCCTCATCCATCACATGGAAAAGTGTCGGGAGACAAGGAGCCACGGCCCTGGCCGTCCACTTTGGAACAAAGTGTACCCGACACTGTCCTAACGGCCCCCTCCCGATCCTGCTTCAAAGGCTACAACGTTGTCCTTGTATTTTAATGAAGATGCTTGGGCCAAGGCCAAGGCACTTGTGTGCGTGCGGGCTTCTGAAGCAGAACCAGGCACCAGCAGGCAACCAGGTGCTCAGCCAGCTTAACTACCGGAAGCTGCTGCCTTTCTCTGGCCGCAACACTAACGAAATGACCAACTCAAGTTGACTTACAAAAAAAGCCAAAAAAGCAAGGCAGGCGGTGGTGGCGCACACCTTTAATTCCAGCACTCAGGAGGCAGAGGCAGGCAGATCTCTGTGAGTTGGAGGCCAGCTGGGTCTACAGAGCAAGTGCGGCCAGCTGGGTCTACAGAGCAAGTGCCAGGACAGGCTTCAAAGCTACACAGAGAAATCCGGTCTTGAAAAACCTAAATAAGTATATAAACCACCAAACTCACCATAGAAGTGCAAGGAGTCTCAGAGAACCACTAGGAAAGGAGAAGAGGGACCCTTGTTGGCCTTGGCAGCCAGAGATCAGGGATGGGAGCCAGAAAAAGGTTTGCCCTTCCCCTCCACATGCCCTTGAGCCTCCTGTGTTAGAGGCACAGGTAGAGCAAGGCTGCCTGGAGGCAGGCAGACCAGGGTGGCCGGTTTGGGAGAAATTGAGGCAGCTGTAAGAGATCCGATGTTCTGAAATGCCCAGAAAGACTGAAGTTTCTCCAAAGTCCTCCCTCCACCAACCCTATCAGGGGCTCTATGTGATGGGGTGACCAGGAATGCTGGTGGTTGCCCAAC